TGAGGTAGGTCTACTGTACATGTTTAGGTTTTGGGGTCCAGAGTATACCTCGAACGACATCTTGGGGTTTAGGGTTTAGGGTTAGAAGGTTCCTTGAACTACGTCCTGTTGGATCGAGTATATTCCCTGATCTACATGTTTAAGAGGTATGCCGGAGTTGAAGAGTATAGGGGTCTCAGGGATCCGTGTTCGCCATTTGCAGCGCCTTGACTACTTGCTGGTTGAGTGTGCAGATGGTTCGGGGTAGGATGTCCGCACGACGGGACACGACGGTGTTGGTCTGGTGGTTAGGTTGCGGTGATCATGTTGATGAAGAGATTAGTGAGAACACTGGCGCGATGCAGACGATGATGATGAGGAGGAGTATGCGGATGCTGATGATGATCACGACGATGGCGATGAGGATGAAGATGAAGAAGGAGTCACTGGGTTGTTTGCTGCCGCCCGTGTTGTTGGCACGGCGCTCTACATGGTGCAATATCATGTGCTACCAGAGTGCAAAAGGGTTTATGTGCTCTGTGCTTCTTTCCTTGGGTTGCTGAAGTCCTAAACCCTAAACCCTAAACCCTAAACCGGTTGCTGAAGTCTTTGTAACCTTGTAACCCCCGATACCCGAAACCCACTGGCCCGAACAGTCGAGTAGGTAACCTTTAACCTTTTTGGGTAGTACGGTCCCTATACAGTCCCTATATGGGAGTTTCCGAAAATTAGGGGTACCTTATATTGGGGGTCCTGATAATAAGGATCCTACTATCTAGGGTACTGTATTAGGGTCCCCTATTTTCGGAAACTCCCATATATCCAAGAAGGTTAACCTTTAGTTCCCCCCGATTCCCGAAACCCACGGCGCCGTAGACCGTCAGTGACGGCATGTGGCGGTTTAGGCCGCAGGATCCAGGCTCAGGCTCGAGTGTAAGGTACTTGGAGGTTCATGGGTAGTTATAAGGCTTCCTTTAAGAGTCCCTTTAAAGGGATCTATAGGGATTCTATAAGGGTATAGGGTTTAGGGCCTACTTGGAGGTTCATGGGTAGTTATAAGTGGGCTTATAATTAGGGTGACTATGGTTATAGCCCTTATTCCGGGACTTATAACCCCATTTAAACTACCCATGACCCTCCCAGTAGCAGGTAGAAGAGCCATGGCAGCAATGGGTGGTGTGTTTAGGGTTCAGGGCTTGGGGATTTGCACTTAGACCTCGTCACATACTGGCGTGCTATGCTAGAGTGTTCTTTGCAAGCAGAAAGATGAAACACCATAGCCCGACATCCTCGACCTTGATCGTTTTTTTCTGATTCTTCGACTTCCTTATAAGAGAACAGGGGTGCGTTGTGATCCGGGGCATGCTGGGGGACCCAGTCGCCCGACTCAACCTTTTGCATGAGAGAATTCGAACTGTGTTGCAACCTAAGCCCGAAGACCCTGTATCCACGAAGCTACCTTGACCTGCTACAGTCTGTGCTTTGGCATCCTGTTGCGGACTTACACTGACGATTACATATACAGAAGGACCCTACAGTTGCTTCAAGTTCATCCTGAGCCGTAAAAACAAGTCAAGCCTGACGAATTCCTGTGCTTGCAGTGCAGTCTTGATTTCAGGGTATCATCGTGAGCCTCATTGAACCGCTTGTAACGCGAAAACCCGGGATTTTTGGCTTTACTGCAACCTTTGAAGGGCCAGTCCGGTGAGCCCAAACCCCTCGAAAGGCAACGCAGGGTTTGCGAAAGACTCAATCTCAGAAGCTCAGGGACTTGAACCCTAACTATGGTAACCCCCAAAACGGGACCACCATTCCTCAAAAATGCCCTTAAGCAGAACTTCACAAGGTGGCAAGTCCATGCTAGCGCGGGCAATTGCTGCGGAGACTGGTGCTTCCTCCGCACCCTTTGCCCTGAGAGCCCAATAGCGGGAGTTCAGGAAGACACCTTAAATCACAGCAAAAACCTGTTAACACGGCAGAAATCATAGCAAGAATGAGCAAAGGAGCACGCCCTAAATCATAGCTAGCATCAGAAGCCCTGTGAAATTTAGGGTAAGTTTCATGATGAATCGGTATTGGGCTCGCTTTTTGTTGATTAGGGGGCTGGACAGGGCACCTGGGCTTCAGAATTTCGTAGGGTAATCCATTCGTTGACCTTCTATAATGCGGGGTCGAGCATGCTTGAAGGCAGCTTCAAGGTCAGACGAATTCGCACTCAACATTCCCGACCCGGGTTTAGTCGGGAGGATGAGTAGCATAGGGGCCACCACAATTACTAATGCTGTTCTCCTTATTGTAGTTGTCATGCTATTCCTTAGGGTTCCTGCTTAAGAAATAGTCAGACACGTTCAGAATCCCCGGAGAACCCCGTTCTGGCCGTTCTGACTGTTGTAGCTCAGCATCATCGTCCTACTCCCGTGTTGCCTGCCAGCACCAGTATCACAGGCTCTGCAATTGTCTTGGCGATGTAGCATTTACGCGCATCCTCATGTTGGGTACCATAACTTTGCTGCTGCACTTCGTTATGGTGCTGATACGGATCCCTTCTTGCAATAAGGGTGCCGTACTAGTTTGCGGACTTTCAGAAAAGGCGGTTCCTTATGGGATACTTGCTGTATGAGTGCCAGGAACGACCCGCAACAGAAGCTGATCTAGTTGAAGAATGCCCTCAACCCCTCAGCTGTAGACCTTAATTCCTAAGACCCAACACCCTCATACCCTAAACCCTAAACCCTAAACCCTCAAGCCCATCAAAGCCTGAACCCTCAAGGGGAACCTTGATGGCACCATTGTTATCCCCTAAAAGCCCCATTGCCCTTCAGCCTAATCCCCAAATCGCACCATGCTTATCCCCTAAAAACCCTAAACCCCCCTAAACCCTAAACCCTAAACCTTAAAAGCCCTAAAAACCCTAAAGACCCTAAAGACCCTAAACCATAAACCTTGACGGCATCATTATTATCCCTTGAAAGTCCTAGATACTGAAGACTCTAAACCCCAAATCCCTAAAACCACTAAAGCCCCGAAGCCCGAGATCCCAGAAAGCCTGGGATCCTCAGCCCGCTGCAATGAAATCCGAAATTCCCCAAATCCCTAAACCCTAAACCCTACCCTTTCAACATAAAGGGAACTCCAGAAAGTTGGAATATGGATTAATGGTAGGATCCCCTATAATTTACCTTAAAGGGGTTACGATAATGATATTCCAACTTTCTGGCTTCTACTGTAACCCTAAACTCCCTAAGCCCCAATTCCCTAAACCCCAACTTTTCCCACAAGGGCCCCGCATGCTTGGTTTACGTTTTCGGGCTCCAGAAGTTCGGTGATTCTTCTCGCTTGGCCTTCGCTCTCCCTTTCGCTCACCGCACCCGGTCTGAACGGGTCCCGGACACTCCAATATCCCTTAATTAAGGAATATACCTTAAATTATAGTAGGATCCCTAATATGAATTAAGGAGTATTCCTTAATTAAGGGATATTGGAGTTTCAGGGGTTAGGGCTCAGGATTTAGTTGGGGTGTTTGGGGTTTAGGGCTTTAGGGAGTTTAGGGTCTACGAGGGTTCTGAAAGGGTGCTTAATAAACAAGGGCGAGCCTAAGGGTTCTTACTTGTATGGGGCTGCCATTGTACAGTAGAAGCCAGAAAGTTGGAATATCATTATCGTAACCCCTTTAAGGTAAATTATAGGGGATCCTACCATTAATCCATATTCCAACTTTCTGGAGTTCCCTTTAAGGGGTCCTTGTAAGGTTTTCTTTGGGGCTCAGGGTTTCTTTTGGATTCGGGCGAAGGCTTCGGGTTCAAGGTTTAGCCTTCACGACTTGGCATAGGGGTCGAGGAAATCGAGGAGACTGTTCCCTCACAGCTTCTGTGCGCTCAGAGTTGATGGTAGGATTTAGTGCTTAGGGTGTGAGCAGGGGTTGAGTTTCGGAAGAATAGAACAAGTCTGCCAACTGTGTACTGCTCGCAAGTATGTTCCGATTCACATGGGTCTCATCGCCATAACCCCCTTACCATATGCAGGACTGTAGTAGGGATCCCAAGATCAGAGGCTTTTTCTAGGATGCCCAGTAGTACCCTTATTCCCTTTTTGTAGTCCTAGGTTCCTTATAAAGTTACCCAATACCAAAAAGAGAGGGCATTTTATTCTTAGGTTACTGGGTATCCTCGTTTTGACAAGGCGCAAGCGTAAAAGCCCCAAGCCCTACGACCTCAGACCCTGAGCCTTCAAAGCCCGCACCCTAAACCTTGGGCCAAAAAGCCTTAAGACCTGCCCAAACCCTAAACCCTAAACCCTAAACCCTAAAACCTAAACCCTAAACCCTAAACCCTAAACTGAATTCCCAAACCTTTCAAAGCACCAAAGCTGCCAACTTTATGTAGGCCTTGGAGAAATGCACCTCGATTTTTGAGCGCCTTGATATTTGGAAGCCTGCTGTAGCAACTTTTCGTGGAGGCAGCGTTATTTAGTTGGAGGTCTTTGTGGTTTTGGGGTAACGGTGTTGGGTCTTGGTTTCAGGGTTTAAGGTTGAAGGCTGTTTGGTTTAGCTAAGCTTTTGGGGTTACTGTTGTTGGTCTCGCTTTTAGGGTTTAGGGTTCACGATGGTTGGCTCACTCTTTTGATTTAGGGTTGAGTCCAGTTATAGTTCTTGTTGTTTGGGGTCCAAGGTGTGCGTGTTTTTTCAGGGTGAGAGAAGGGTGTAAGGTTCAGGGTACTCTGATTTCAAAAGGGTGCAGGGTTGAATTGCTTTAAGCTTCGAGCCCAGGGTTGGACTCATAGGGTGGGGTTGAGTTTGTTCAGGGTTTCGGGCGTTTAAGGCTTAGGGCTTCGAGGGCTTAGGGCCTAAACTCCAGCGACAATCCTATTGAAACCCATATCACCGACACCCTTGCAGAGCCCTTGTACACTGTATTAAGCCCATACCTAACCCCAAAAAAAGCCCTAAACCCAAACCCCAGACCCCAAAACCTAAACCCTAAACCCCAAACCGAACTCCATGGCTGCCGAGGTTTCTCGGAATCATGAGCCGCCTGCCCCTCAGTTCACAGTGTTTTCGGGGGCCAAAAATGGAAGTTTGAATTATTTAGGGTCTTGTACCCTAAACCCGAAAACGAAAGATTACAGTCTTATATCTGTCTTCTAATTTTTGTCCTATCATATCCCAAGAAACCTTGTTCTACTTGTTCAGGCTCCTACATTTAGGGTCCTCTCGGTGGGTTTGGAGTTTCGTGTTCGAGGGGTTTCGGCTTCTATATGGTTTGACCATGGTAGAAGCTAGAACTTGAGTACAAGCGGCAGCTTTGACAAATGAGGGACCCACAAAACAGAAGTCAGCAGGTAGGATCCAGTATGAGGATGTCCTGCATGAGGTACATCTGAATCTACGTTTCGGAAAACCGTCATATCAAGAGCATGCAGCATTGCTTTTGCACCCCTCGCCCTCAGAAAAAAAATGCAATAGGTGGCACACTAAGTAATCCAAGCCACGGTCAATCGTAGTAGTTGTGTCGTAATTATTACTTATTACTGATTATCACTGCGTGCGGACCAGTCGTGGGGACCTTTTGGTGCCTGTGACGCAAAAAGACCCAGGTCTGAAGGACTATACCAGAGCTTCATGGTAACTCAACCCGAAAACTCGGTTTGGAGTTACCCTCAACCCTAACCTTAAACCCTGCACCCTAAACCCTAAACCCTGAACCCTAAATCCTAACTTCTATACACCCTAAACCCTAAAATGGGTCTTTTGGGTTATCCTAAACCCTAAACCCTAACTTCTATAAACCCTACCCTCAAAGGTGCATCAGGAGCTTCCGCTTTGGTCCTGGGTGGCGCTGCCGCCTATGCTGCTGCACAGCTCGCAGGCGCGTGGGAGCGTTGCGGCTTCGGGTATAAGGTTTAGGGTTTAAGGTTAGGCCTTCGGGTTTAGGGTTCAGGGTGTTTAGGGAGGGTTTAGGAGTTCAGGGTTTGGAGTTTCAGGGTCTAGTGTTTCTGAAATGTGGGATCGCGAAGTTGAAAGTCAGGAGCGATGCATTCAGATCCCCCTATGACAACGCGGTCATCAGAGTAATGGAGCGTTCAGGCTTCGGGGCTGAGGGTCACGGTTCAGGATAAGGATACAGAGGTTAAGCCGGTTAAGCTTCATTTATGGTTTTCGGTCGGGCGGTTCTGTACTTATATCCCATCGGAAAGGAAAGATCGGCATGTTCGGTGTGGGCAGCTTTGGACTTGTCTGCCCGCGTGCACCCGGCCAGCGTGCACGTGCATAGTCATGCGCATGTGCATGCTCATGATGGATGCACGCATCCATGCATACTTGTATGTAGAGGAAGTAGAAAAACCAAGGACGAGGCATGAGCACCCTCGTCCCACCCCTGCGTGACCAACCCCTGAACACTAAACTCTGAGCCTTCCTAGGCCCTCAGCCTCAAACCCTATAAACCCAAAGGGTCCAAAGTACCTGTATAGTTGAATGTAGGGTTTCGATATTAGGAATTACTATTATGATTTGGGGAAGTATTCCCCATAACAGTACATAGGACCCTTTTGGGACAAAGTGATAGAACCCTTTCCTGCATTTGGCTTCTGACTGTCAGGAGGTTCCCAGACCTTCGTGGCACCAACTGTGGTGCAGGCGGACCGCCTTCGCGGTTGCTTTAGGGCTTTCACTTTCGGGGTTTAAGGTAAAAGCCAGAAAGTTGGAATATGATTATCCTAACCCTTCCATGGTAAATTATAGGGTATCCTACCATGAAACCATATTCCAACTTTCTGGAGTTCCCTGTAGGCCTACGGGTTACAGACCTTCTTTCGCACTTACTTCACAGGTTCCCTCAAGGGCTTAAATCTCAGGGATTCGGGAGTTAGGGTTCTTCATGGGAGGTACTTTACAGGTGCCCTTAAAGGTTTAGGGGTTTGGGGGACCGGGTTCGGGGGTGACTTCAGAGGTTCCCTCACGGGCTTTGGGGGTTTTGGGGTTCAGGGTTCGCGGACACTTTACCGGTCTAAGGGTTAAGGGTTTTGTAGGGTTTAAAGGGAACTCCAGAAAGTTGGAATATGGATTAATGGTAGGATCCCCTATAATTTACCTTAAAGGGGTTACGATAATGATATTCCAACTTTCTGGCTTCTACTGTAAAGCTTAAAGGTCTTGGGATTAGGGTGGGGCGCCGTACCACGGTTTCGGTTTTAGGGTCTTGATTTTCGGGCTCAGGGTTTGGGGTTTAGGTCATGTATGTCATGTTGAGCCTTGGAATCCCACACAATAGCAGAGGCAGTCATGCACACATGGAAAGGCAGAGGGAGGGACCAAAGCAGGCACGGCCTAGGGTTCAGGGCTTAGGGGCAACAGCTTTCCGCGCCTTCGAAAGCCTTGAACCTGAAGCCCTATAATGTAGGGGCCTCAATACTTACCTATCATTACTATTCTTGGGGGATACTTTATTAATACCGTATGCCCCAAAGCCTATTCCAATTATTGAGGCACTTTTTGTTATATCCCTGAACCCATGGCCTGGTCCGACCTACATCCTATACACGCAGCCCATGGACATAAATCGCGAGCACTTACACCAAAGCCACCACCACTAAACCTCAAACCCGATAAACACCAAACTCACAGAGAACATAAAGCAAGAAACGAGGAAGCCACACTTAAAGCGTAACTTGAAGCCTAAACCCTAAACGAAACAGCAAGACTGAAAAAGGCGCCCCACCCTCCAAAAAAAACAAAAAAAACAACGACACAAAGACAAAGCACTCGCGAGCAACAGGAGCCAACTTCTCAGCCTTCCCTGCGTGGGCGAAGCTCCACCCAGGTCTCGAAGAGCAAGGATGGTACTATAGGGGGTTACTGTAAAGGGGTCTATAGGGGCTACTATGGGCCATTTTAAGGATGTAGTATAGGGGCCTTAATAATAACTATAGAATAGGGGTTACTTTAAAGGGGACTATAAGGGGTACTTTAAGGGCCATTACAAGGATGTAGTATAGGGGTACCCTCAGGGTCCATGTACGCAAATAGTATATACTCTGCCCCCAAAGTACCTACAAAGGGACTGCTTTAAGGCCAAAGTAGATACTGTTTGGGTACATGGACCCTTAGGGGTAGGTTATGGTTGGGTCTTCAGGGTTTCGAACTCGGGTCGGATGTGTAGGGCTCGGGTTTCGGGCTCTGGCTTGCTGGCATGGGGCTCATATGGGGCTTAGCGTCTATGTGGGGCTATTGTCGGAATTTCAGCTTTCAAAGAGTGGGGAAGGGTTGGAAAGATCAGGCAACTTTTGCAAGCAACATAGAGAATAAGGACCACAGCAAGTCCAAATAAGTAGAATCGGATGGTCTCCCAGCCTTTGCTGGGGTTTTATTGCGAGTCACCCCAGAATCAAAACCCTCATTGACGCCCTGCTTCATATGAGGACTCGAGAGTTCTTCGAGTTGATATAGCTTCCTGGCGAAGGTACTGTAAGGGTACTCGAGCGCAAGCTCCCCCAAACGATTATCCTACATCATTGCTTCTTCAACGTCCAACTGCGAAAAAAATTGGGCACTTTGGACCTTCAGGGATAGTCCTTGAACCCGAAAGCACTGGATAAAGAGCACAATTCCTTCCTTGTAGTTGCACAGCCTAAAGCCCAGCGGATGCAAAGCTCCAAACCTGGAATGCGAAGCACCCAGGCCTTAAAAGCGAATAGAATCCTCGTCAGAGCCCATATGAAAGCCCCATAGACGAAGAGGCACAACCCTAAACCCTGAACCCCAAACCCTAAACCCTAAGCTCTAAAACCTAAACCGTAAGCTCTAAATCCTAAGCTTTGAATTCTTAGCCCTAAACTCTAAACCCTAAACCCTAAGCTCGAATCTCCCTGCCAGTCGCGGTCCTCCGAGCTTCCTTTGGGTGCCATGGCGATGGCAACCGCTGCAGCGGCCCCGGGAGAGAGTTTAGGGTTATGCCTGTCATAGTTATGTGTGTTTGTGTGTATGCATCTCTCTCTCTCTCTCTCTCTCTCTCTCTCTCTCTCTCTCTATGTGTATATAATATATATATATATATGCAGTTACACATCCATTCATCCATCCATACATGCCTGCATGACACTGTTTGTTTTTGTGAGTGTGTCTGTATTTATTAATGTGCACAAACATATGTATGTATGTGCATATATGTATATGCATATATTCGGCTTCCATGAGTATTCTGGCAGCAGCCTTTTTCGAAAATGATCAGCGGTGTAGGAGGGTTCTGCAAGTTTTTGTTTTACGAGCGTTACGTAAGGGCTTCCGGAGTGTAATATAGGGCCATGTAGGGGTCTAAGTATTGAGTACAAATAGTAAGGCCCGTGATATTCGTTGCAGACCTCAACAGCGCAGACTCATGAGGGTATTGAACCCCATAGAGTTTCTTACAGGGATGTTCACGTTTTGGGCTAGTTTAGGGCTTAGAGTTATCTCTGATGAAATTACACAGACCATGCAAACAGGATGGTTATGATAGCTTGCGATAGCTTGAACCAGTCGTCCACGGTGTAGCCTGCGCCATCTGCTGAAGTGCACTTATTCATCCTGCAATGGTTCAAGACCCAAAGCTAAATCCTGCCAGCAAAATGCTGACGCCCTGCTAAGTTGAGAACTGTCTTTGCGCTTGACGGTTCTGTTCCTTCAGAAGCAGGGCACACGAAGAACAATCGAACAAGAGGTTAAACCTTCTAGTCCATCAATGCGCGACCCCACTCAATAAAAGGTTGACATACCCTGAACCCCGAAACCCTGCAAACAATAAAACGCAAATCTCCAATACCCTAAACCCCTTACCCCCTAAACCCCTAAACGGAAACCTCGAATATTGAACAGCCCCTTACATCAATCTAAACTCTAAGCCCTAAACCCTAAACCCCTGAACCCCAAACCCTTAACCTCAAAGCCTCTAAACCCTAAACCCTTAGCTTTAAAACCCTAAACCCTTAACCTTAAAGCCCTAAACCCTCAACCCTCAACCTTAAACCCAAAACCCTAAACACCTAAACCCCAAACTCTTAACCTTAAAACCCTAAACCCTAAACACCAGGCCGCCGGAGTCTACGGAGCTAGCGGCATGGGACCCGGCACTGGTTGGGTTTTACAATACCCTATGCCTCCAGGGACCTTATTATGGGGTCTAGGGCCTTAACTATGAAATCCTTGGAGGGATAGGGATAAGCTTTCAGAACTTTGTCATAGTTGGGTGACATGTTTACATGTTTATGGGTACTTAAACCCAAATATAAGGAATGGAAATGTGGATTTCAATCCTATCCTCGCCATGAGCTATAGAAATGTCATATACAGTTTCAAGAGGATTTTGCGAAGGATTTTCTTCAGGTCATGTACTGTTTTATAGGGTTTGACACTACCCTTAGGCTCCACAGTAGTTCCTTTTTGGGGTTAATATTTAGAAACTTATGAGGTAATCCCAAAAAGGAACTACTATGAAGCCTCTGGGTAAACCCTAAACCCTACCTCTCGGCTTCAGGCCACGGGCGTAAATTTGAATGCATAGTGACAACAAAAAAATATGACCATGCTAGGAAAGTAGACTGAAACGAGCTTTCTAATCGCAAAGACAGCACCGACAACAACACCACGCTAAACCGACACCTCGAAACCCAAAGCACTCAACGGCGAACCCCACAACTCTGAAGTCCTAAGCCCTAAATCCTGAGCTCTAAACGTCCCTGAAGCCAAAAGTGCCACTCAGCCCGTCGCTGGCAACCCCCAACGACTTCAAAGTCCTAAGCACCATTGTAAAGCAGTAAGTTGTGCTGCTTTATTATTTCGGGGCTCCGATTGCCATAAGCCTAGGCCAGAAAGAATAGTCTACTTCTCCCGGGTGGTTTACTGAACAGCAACCTATAGTAGAAGCCAGAAAGTTAGAACCTCATTATCCGCTTGCCCAATTAAGGTCCAGTATGCGAGATCCTAGCACTAATCCTCCTAAAGCCAGGTTCCAACTTTTTTCGGCTTCTATTAAATGGGAGTTTCCGAAAATAAGGGCTACCTTATCTGGGGGTCCTTATAATAAGGATCCTACTATTTCGGGTGCTATATTATTAGGGTCCCCTATATTTCCGGAAACTCCTATACAGACATGCAAACCCTAAACCCTAAACCAGCAGTTTCGAGGCCGTGCTGGCAAGAAGTCTCGCGCCCAGGCGGTGGTAAGGCAGGCGAAGGCCGATCCCACGGTATGTCGTTGATTCTACTGCCCCCATACAGTAAGAGTCTATAATAGAGCTACGATTAAGGTCCTAATATATCTATATTATGAATATTATTCAACTATTACTGAGAAGGGGCCGTATCCAATTGATTCGTTTATTCTGTCGCTATAAACGAAGCCGGGCCCGAGTGTACATACCATTGCGACCACCTTCAGGCAAAGTCATGTAGACAGTAGCCCACATCTTAGTCCCAAGGTTGGTGTTTACTGGCTGATTTGCTTTGCTGTTGTGTGTGTGAGTGTGTGTGTGTGTGTCTCTGTCTGTGTGTGTGTGTGTGGTGGCTCTGTGTGTGTGTGTGTGTGTGTGCACGTGTGCAGCCTTTTGTTGGAGATGGAGCGCCCAGGGTTGAGGCTTGTCAAGCCAAGGCCTGGAAGCTAAGAAACATAGCACCCCAGCCAGCCCTACACCTCTGTTGGCCCAAAGCGAACTACCTGTTGTTTATAATTGTGTTTTTCGCAATGCTGTTGTTTCAGCTATTAAGGCACATCTTTGGATTGTGATCGCTTGTGAGATTATCAGGTGGACGACTCCGTCCTTGATCTCGTAAATTCTGGGTTCAGGACTTTGAGGCCTGAAATTACAAGCTTCTGGATTCCCAGTTTTGAAACCTATCATATTGAATTAGGAATATTGAGATACGGCTCTGGGAGCCAGGACCACATCAACCCCAACCCCTAGATCCTGAACCCTATATCCTAAACCTTAAACCCTAACAGGACCACATCAACATCGGCACCATCGGCCACGTCGACCACGGGAAGACCACTCTCTCGGCTGCCATCTCCCTCGTGTGCGGCCAGCCGGAGCCCTACGGAATGGGACGTGGTTGATTTATTGTGCGGATACAAGGATGTAGTATCGGTTTACAGGGTTGGGGCGATTATATAGTACACGGGCCTTAGTGATAAGAATAAGGTTTCGGGGTATATCAATACTCAGGAACCCTCAAAATAGTATTGGCAATTATTCAAGCTGCTACAGTATATCTGGGTGTTGTTGTTTCTTGCTTTGGTCGGTCTGAGGGTAAATTAGACAGGGGTTAGGGTATGGGAACTGGTTTACAGGCTCGTCGTTTAAGGTTCAGGCTTGGAGGGTCTGGGCCAAGTCTAGGGCTTTGAGGTATGCGGGGACCTGAGTTGTAGGAGTAGGGAGGATTAGTGTAGGGACCAATGTAAGTGCTTGATACATGTAGTGCGCCACCTTATGCTTGCAGATTCCTGAACGTAGCTCATCGGTAATCATTTGGCGCATGTAGTTTGAGCTTTAAGGGTGCACGGGGTTCTGGTTTTGGGATGTGGCAGGCGGCGGAGGTGGTAGATGTTTGAGTTTAAGTTTTGAGTTTAATCACTCGGTTCCGGGTCATGGTTCCATGCTTGGTTGAGCTGGCACCGCGATGTGTCGTGATACAACTGATAACTCAAGCGCAAATGCTGTCCTCAGCAGTACACGGTCAACGAGCCCTCGAACGGCACAATCGAACGAGACTATAAGTAGAATATAGTATGTAGTTTCTGTTAGAGATAGACGCATACATGCGAGGCAGCACGGCTAGATTAGTGAAGACGGGCGGCATGTTTTGTTTCAGGCTACAGACCCAGAGGTGCGATTTGGGCCGACGGCAGATTGTATCAGAACCGACAGGGGATTAGCTTTCGACGCTTTTCGGGTACATCTGAGCGACTAGAAAGGCGACGCGATTGCTGCCTACATCTGCCAAGCAAAGGATATCTCCTTGCCTGAAACCATAAGACCCTAAACACTATATTAAACCCTACATTAACCCTATAACCCTACAACTATAACCCGAAACGATCCTGAAACCATAAGACCCTAAGATACTAAGCCCGTATCCTACTTACAGAGACCCTGAGGGTCCATGTGCCCAAAGAGTATACACTTTGGCCCGAAAGTGCTCCCCACATAGGCACATTTGGGCCCCAAGGATACACTATTTGGGTACATGGATCCTTAGGGTACCCTTATACTACATCCTTATACTGGCCCTTATAGCAACCCCTTTAAAGTAACCCCTATTCTATAGTCATTAAGGCCCCTATAGTACCATCCTTGCTCTTCGAGACCTGGGGGGAGCTTCGGCCCACGGAGGGAAGGCTTATAATGGCCCTTATAGTAACCCTTTAAAATAACCCTATTCTATAGTCATGAATTATTAGGGCCCTACCCCTATACCACATCCTTATAATGGCCCTTAAAGTAACCCAATTATTAAGGCCCCTTCAAGTAACCCTTATAGACCCCTTTAAAGTAATCCAATCATTAAGGCCCCTTAAAGTAACCCTTATAGACCCCTGTAAAGTAACCCAAATTATTAAGGCCCGTATACAGTAGAAGCCCAAAAGTTGGAAACCCAATAGCCTCGATCCTTCAGAGCAATTTATAGGGAATCCCAGCACTATTTGGCCTTAATCAGGTTTCCAACTTCATGGGGTTTACTGTAGAAGCTACAGGTTCAGTACCTCCGACGACACGACCAAGAAGTCCTATGAGGCGGGGGCTGTTGGGCTGAGGGTTTGGAGTTAGTCCTAGGGTTTCGGCTTTCGGGTTTAGGGTTTTAGGGTTTTAGGGTTTTAGGGTTTAGGGTTTTAGGGTTTAGGGTTTGGGGTTTATTGGAGTTGGTCCCCCAAAGGCTCCATATAGTGAACCCCAGAAAGTTGGAACATGGTGCTAGGATCCTGTATACTTTACCATAAGGGCACGAGGATAATGATGTTCCAACTTTCTAGCTTCTACGTATACCTTTATAGTAGATACTTAAGCCTTGAAGGGGTACCAAAAATAGGTACTGTAGGGTTAGGAATATACAAAATGGGTACATGCAGCCTGAGGGTCCTATGCCTCGACCCGCCAGCGCCGCCAAGTACTAGGTTTTAGGGTTTAGGGTGCCCTAGTACCCTTTAAAGGGCTTTCTCATTGAGAGGTATACTTCATTTGCAATAAAGGGTAGTTGGGGGGATCTAGGTGAGCTGGATACTTCAGAGTTCAGGGTTTAGAAATGAGAGAGACTGTTCCCTCGATATGAATGAGGTTGGTACTTTAGAGTTCAGGGTTTAGGGTGGAGGGAGAATGTATCCCCATCCCGATTCTAATCATTGAGGCCTGCCCATTCGGGTCTACTTGGAGGTTCATGGGTAGTTATAATTAGGGTAGCTATCCCTTTATTAGGAGACTTATAGCCCAATTTATAACTACCCCTGAACCTGCAAGTAGGGCCTACTTGGAGGGTCGGGGGACTTAGTAAGTAGGTAGTAAGTAGACTTATAAGTACCCTAAAAGGGACCCTAATTGAGCTAATTGAGGTTATGGTACTTATAAGTCCTTAAAATAGCCAGTTACTAAGTCCCCCGACCCTCCAAGTAGGGGTCAGCAAGACCCCGAGATGGCGAGTGAAGCCATGGCTAGTGCAAAGGTCCTCAGACAGAGGTCAGGCGAGTCGTGTTATATGGGAGTTTCCCAAAATTCGGGGTACCTTGTTTGGGGGCCTTATAATAAGGATCCTACTATTTTGGGCACTAGATTAGGGTCCCCTATTTTCGGAAACTCCCATATAGGGGTCTGAGTAGTTAGTCCCCACATGATCATGGTCTGATGATTAAGACCCCTTGCTTGAAGCCACCGTTCAGGCCAGAAACCTAGGTTCCTAGCAGCTCTCGATGCTTTTGGCCGCAGCAGTTTTTCTCAATCAGGGTTCCGCCCAGCTGCCGGCAAACTCCACCCTCAATCCCCAACCATCAGCCCCCAACCCGAATCGCTAAACTCAACACCGTAGACCCAAGTGTGGGTGCATGGTTGCTGATGCCAGGAGATCGACAACGCGCCGGAAGAGCGCGCCCGCGGTATCACCATCAACGCTTCGCACATCGAGTATGAGACGGAGACCAGGCACTTCTGAGGGTTTGGGGTTGGGGAAACCCCTTAACCCCTGAACCCCCCTAAACCCTAAGCCCTGCACCCCCCATATAGGGTTAAGACGTGGAGATTCCGGAGCTGGAGTCCTGAATTGTGGATGTTTGGGTTTGCCCAGCTTCCAGCGCTGAAGGGCCGGCTAGACAGAGAGAGTCATGCAAGCGCTTTATGGTCGAAGACGGCTTCTGTCTTTGGTAGAAGTGCTCCAAGGTTTCGGATACCTTGATAGGTTATTCGGGCTTAAGGTGCGTAGTGGGTATTGAAGCCCTAGCAGAGGCTAGTCGGCGGGAGGGTCTAGGCCGGCTGACGGGTTTTCAGGCTGGGGGACATTCACCTACAAGAACTGGGTATTCTCAGGCAAAGTCTTCTTCCACAGAAAAATGTAGAATAAGATCGCTTATCATAGAAGAATATAGAACATTCTCGGCTAATGCAGAACAATATAGAACAACACAACAGAGACTAGAATAACATAGAATATAGAACTCGGAAGAGCCCTACAACAAGTAGGTTTGTAAAGTTTTGGCCGAGGTGCGATCAGGCCCTTGAAACATGTAGACCTCTAATCCCTAGGTCCCCAAGTCCTAATCCATGAGTTTCTGAACCCTAAACCCCTGCACCCTCAACCCCCAGAAGCCACCCAAAACAACCTGGATCAAAAACATCTCTACGTTTCCGGTACTCTCTGAACTGAACCTTCCCCTCTTGACCCCTCCGCCCTTCTGCCACGCACAGTCACCGCCCTTCTGCTACGTACAGTCTAGTATGTGGGACTATCTGCAGGTGCTGACATATTTTTCCCTACGAGTAGGAGTATTCCCACAAGTTCTGTGATTCTGTGTAGTGTACCGTGAAACTCGGTGCAGAGTACGTAGATCCGTATCCCTTTGGGCAGGCACTACTGCCACGTGGACTGCCCGGGCCATGCCGACTACGTCAAGAACATGATCACAGGATCATCCCGGATGTAGGTATTCAGGTTCTACGATTGATGATATAAAGCCTGCAGTACCTTAAGGACCCTAAACTATGGGAATGATGGTATGTTCCTCATTACGGGTAATGCAGGACGTGTGTCATCAACCGTAGGACTCAAGGTTCCGAGAGGGGTCCTGGCAGTGCATACGACGTCAAGAAAGTGATATCAGTTTCCGGCAAGCGCCTACAACGGGTTTCAGGGCCGAGTTTAGATTTCGGGGCTTGTGGGTCAACCCTATGGTATAAACCTTGAACCGCCGCAGTTCTCTCGAGTACTATACTTGTCTGAACAATTAGTCACCATATCTCCCTGTAGCATACCCAAGATCTGTATGTACGTGTGTGTGTGTGTGTGTGTATTTGTATATATGCATGTAGAAAAATCTCATGGTTTCGGGCCCCTATGTTACACCTCTCTTTAGCGTGCTGTGGCCGCGGCTCATTTTGCACGTGGGGTGCTTTGTTAGACGTTCTCTTTTCACATGATGCATACGGTTTAGGGTTTAGGGTTTAGGGGTTTAGGCTTTAGGGTAATGTAGAATGTAGGACAGGAAATACTGCGCCTTGAGAGGTTTGGAGTATACAGGGAGTAGATGGTCAGGCGGCAACCTCGCCTAGAACTCAAGTACTCACCCACGTTTCTGTGCAGGAGCTTGCCAGATGGATGGCGGTATCCTCGTCATTTCCTCTCCGGATGGCCCAATGGCCCAGACTCGTGAACACATCCTCCTCTCGAAGCAGGCGGGCTCCAAATCACGGGAGTCTAGCAAGCTAGCATCCATGTTTGACTGCTAGCACCTCAGTGTTTAGTCTATACTACCACTTATAGCCTCTGCACACGTGTTCGGCACCATACCTCAGATCCTGCGGTTCACTAGCTGCGTCTTTACTCGTTGCTGAGTGCACAGATTCGGGACCACGAACACTACTTGGCCGGAGTACCCAACATCATGCTCCCCAAGTCCTGACTTTAATGGGCAACAATATGCCATGACTCGCCACAAGAAACTGTAATATACGGTGGTAGACCACTTCCGGCCTTAGATTTACATACTGTTCGTGCGGAACTTGTGCTGACCAAGAGCCTTGAGATTTCTGTTGTCGCAACTCCACGACGTTCTTCTGTTGCGACTTTGGATGTATGGTCCCTCCACTTTTGACCACACGGACGGTTGATGAAGCATTGTGCTGACTCCTGCTCACGTGGAGGTAGGCGTTCCTGCGCTGGTGTGCTTCATGAACAAGGCCTGCCGTAATGCACAGGTGTTTGCATTTGTGACAATCAGAGATGTCGTTTGGTGGTTCTTCGGGGTCATACGAGTTTGTGACTGTCCCCAAGCCCCACACCACACACCTCTACCTTGAAGACAACTACACCTACCTGATTTCGTGACATGAGCATGTTTCTCCATTCTGACCCTCCCCGAATCCTGGACTGGTACAGTACCATGCAAGAACCACTCTTGTTAAGCTGCGAGTCATGCGAATTCTTTGACATACCGCAACCTAAAGCACTCAAAACTGAATGGTATCGCAGTCCGCATACCATGAACTCGTCAACCCTAGTTAGCTAAATCCTGAACCAGGACACCGGGACCATTGCCACGCAAGTGTGATTCCATTGGTGCAGCATGTCGTCATCATCGCACTTCTTCTTCCTACGGCTGCAACAACAACTACTACTATGTCCTACTACAAGTACAACAACTACTACTACTACTACTACTACTACTACTACTACTACTACTACTACTACTACTACTGCTACTGCTACTGCTACTGCTACTGCTACTGCTACTACTACTACTACTACTACTACTACTACTACTACTACTACTACTACTACTACTACTACTACTACTACTACTGCTGCTATTTTTCCAGGAGGACAACTGCTATCTGCACTATCACTACGCGTGCGGTACAAGGGTTATAAGAACCATTATCTCAACCCTAAGAAAAGGCAGAGCCTTCACAAGAGCGATCAGAAAAGAAACCTAACAAAATCTAGAACCCTTCACAGCTAACTATAAGCAAACCCTTACGCAATTGTAGAACCCTCACAAGAACCATTATAGAGTCCTTATAAGATCTATAGCAAAATATAGAACCTGTAGAAGCCCTAAAGCCGCAACCCTAAACACCAAACCCTAAGAAAAGGTGGACAACCCTAAACCTTGAATCCTAAACCTTAAGCACTAAGCCCTAAACCTTGCAGCTCAAATCTTCAACGCTGAGCCCTATAAGAAAAGGTGGACAAACCGTAAGCCCTGAACCCCGAACCCTAAACCCTATAGATCCAAGACCCTTATCAGAACCGTAAGATCTATAAGAAACCCTAGACCCTAAACCCCCTGGATCCAAGAGGTGGAGCCCTTACACAATTGTAGAACCCTATAAGAAACCCTAAACCCTAAACATCCTTAAACCGTATACATCCAAGAGGTGGACATGATGGACGACGAGGAGCTCCTGGAGTTGGTGGAGCTGGAGACGCGCGAGATGCCCCTGGGGCCCCCAAAAACGGAGACCTTACGAGAGGTGCGATAAGGTTTTGGGGGTTCCTTTAAGGGTTTAGGGTCTAGGGTCCCCAAAAAGGGAGACCTTAAGGGATACTACTATAGGGTTTTAGGGGTTCATTTAAGGGTTTCGGGTTTAGGGCCCCCAAGAAGGGAGACCTTAAGGGAGGTGCAATAAGTTTTAGGGGTTGTGGGAGACCTTAAGAGGTACTTGAGGGGTTCCCTGAAGGGTTTTAGGGATTCCTTGCTGGGTTTTAGGGGTTCCTTGAAGGGTTTCGGGTTTAGAGCCCCAGAAGGGTGTGGAGCAGCTTACGGCTTTCAGGGTTTAGGGTGTATGGGGGTTTGGGAGCTGCGGGAGTTTGGGTGGCAAAGGGGCAGAGCAGTTGAAGGCTTAGGCTTAGTTAGAGGCAAGGATTAGTGAGGAATTCGGGGTCTGTGAGGCTTTTTCTATACGGAGTGTATAGCTGTTTCAGCAGTTCGGGTGTCAGTGTTTAGAGGGTCTTGAGTGTGGGGCTTTTGGGGCTGTAGGGCAGGGGGCGTAATTATTGGGGCTTCAAAGTTGTAGGGCTTGGAGTTTACGGGTCGGGGCTTCGGGGCTGTCGTGGGCAATACACTGCTACGTGGGTGGTATAGGTGTTGTGTTGTAATGGTTCCGGGAAAGCTTTTAACAACACCTTACAGTGGTGACGTCTTCTTTTCGCTCCTATATAGTCCAGGAGCTAGAGTAGGCCCTTATTCCCTTTTTAAGGGTTCAGGTTCCCTTATAACCCCCATTAAACCAAAAAGGGCACCCTTTTTATTCCTAGGTTACTCTTGGGTCTAGTAGTTATCAAAGAGCAATTCCAGTTATGGAGGGCCCTGATCTATGCTTACAACTTGCAAGCCATGGCAGCGTTTCACTAACTCGCAGTAGCAATGTCAGCGGCCATCATAAGACGATAGCAATAATTGCGCTCGAAGCCGAATCTTGCAACCTAGCAGCTAGCAGCTCAATACTGTTCCTAAGTGGTACTTGATTTGCTATTGTATGTTATTATTTGTTTATACCACCCCGTCCTACACCGAAGCACGGTCTGCGTACACAGGTGACTGGCATGTTACATTTGTCTGTGTGACAGATGACCATTCCTTGGAGTTATCCGCGATCAAGAGGCCCCGTCGAAATTGAACCTTAAACCTGTTCCTTAAAGCATCCAAATGCAAACCAGGTGCAAAAAGACACAAATCCTGAACCCAGTATGGAAAACTGCGGACCATGCACCCATGGTGATAGCTACATTTTGGGACATGCCCGCCTCAGAAGCAGGGTGGCTTTCCAAGAAGCCCAAAGACTAAACGAGCCACCATCTCGGGATTGTTTGCTTCTTGAAGCTGAGGGTGTGTCCGGCTTAGCATACGGGCTGCTAGAATCCAGGATTTCAGATTGTAGGGCTGGTTCCTTAAAGAGGGTCTAGGGTTTAATTTCTTGGCCCTGAACTGCCACACTGCACAACCCGCTTGTGCCGCCAACGAGCACAACAACACACCTTTGAAACACGCACGCGTGAAGGCCAAACCGAAACAAGAAGGCAAACTGCGCTGGAGCTTCTCAGCACAAGACCCTAACCCCTGGACCCAAACCCTGAACCTATATAGTACCCTTATAGTTAGATCCCATACAGGAGCCCTTGTGGTACCCTCTAAAGGGGCCCCAAAAGCTACACACGCTTTGGACGGATGCCAAGGCTTTCCCAATATGGCTTCCCGGGTGACGACACTCCCTTCATCCAAGGCTGACCGTTTGGTTTGAACCCAGGGTTTAGGGTTACAGGGCTTAGGGCTGTAGGGTTTTAGGATTTAGGGTTTTAGGATTTCGGATTTAGGGTTTTAGGGTTTAGGGTTTTAGGGTTTTGGGCTTTAGGATTCTAGGGTATAGGGGTTAGAGTCTGAGTAATTAGTAGAGCTTTTCCCAGGGTTTGTTTTCACAGGTATACCACAATAGACCCCAAAGCCCCTATCACAATCGTCAAGGCCCCCGTATTATGTTGGAGCTGAACTCCAAAGAAGCCTGCTCTCAGAATACCGAGCTTCGAAGTGCTTACACAATCAGTCGAACCAAAAAGTTGGAGTATGGTGTTGGTATGAGGCTTCAGGGGTTAGGGTTAGTTCTCGGTTTTTCCTTAGCCTACTTGACATGAAAGGCTGGAGGATACTGATACTCCATCTTCCTCTTGTACTTCAGACCTGTGTCCCAAAACTTCCGAGGTTTGTAGTATCCGTAAGGGACGGGGGGTCCAAGGGGGGTATATAGCCTAGTGATCCCTAATCCTCCCTAGTACTCCCTAAGGTTCCCTTACAGTCCCCTAAGGATTCCTTATACCCTCCCCCCTTGAACCACCCTCCCTTAAGGATCCTATAAGAGGTTCCTAGCCCCAGACCAAAAATCCGAAGATTCAGAATGCCGTGGTCAGTAAAAGTACTCGACATCCCAAAACTTGACCCTCAACCTTAAGCCCCGTTCTAAGCCCGTGACCCCAAAGCCTGAATTCTAAACCTAGTACCTCCCAAACTGCACGGTTTAGGGTTTAGGGTTTAGGGTTCAACCGCCAACCCCGAACCCTCTAGGCCCCAAATCCCAAGCCCCACATCTTGACTCATAGGGGGCCAAGAGGGGTTTTAGCCTATGGGGGTTTTAGTAGGGATTAGGGTTCCCTCCCATAGTCGGTTTCATATCAAGGAATCCCTACCCCAAGAATCTTAAACCCCCCTTTGGCCTCCCATCACTGACCTTCGGCAGGCAGCGCCCTTCAAGCTCTCGAGCAGATGAAGAAGGATCCGAGCACCAAGAAGGGTCCCGGACTCAGACATCCAAACTGGCCATCGCATTTCCAATTTGGATGGAGGGCTAGGTTCCTGAGTGGTACCCTTTTGCCCTTTTTCTTTTAGGTTCCCTTATTAACACCGAATAGTAAGAAAAAGGGTACCGGATTCTAATTGGGCTACTCAGGAACCTAGAGGACAAATTGGACCGCCCAGATGCTGACTCATGAAATCACCCATCACCAGGACATCGCACCCCCTGTTTAACATTCATGATAGCATAACATGTGGCTGGTGCAAGGTTTTTGTGAGTGGAACGCACGGCATTCCCCTAGACTGGAGGGCATCAATGTAAACAGGTGGCACGGGGTACTTTCAGTTGCTGATCTACTAAAAAATCGTGCAAAATGTTCTCCATGAGCAGTACTGTTGATAATATGAATCCTGCATGACCCATTATCGGGAATATACAGTAATTCCCGTAGTTTCGGGTCCTCAACCGTAGGACCCCCCAAATATCATTGCAGAAGGGGGTCATGCCAAAAACTCGGGTCCGTCGAAGGGTTTCAAATCGCTCAAAGAGTTTAGGGTCATGTTTGACGATGATGGTGATGATGATGGTGCCGGTTGTGGGTGATGCTGGCCATGGGAAATGTGATCCTTCATACTACATCAGGGTGTGTTGTTGTAACCGACGCGACCTTGCGCAGTGTGGATTGAGTAGCGCGGACGGTATCACGCTTTTGCCATTGTTGTTTCAGAATCCAAGTTCTAGGATTTGCATGGAGTAGTCCCAGCCGTGAAATGTGTGCAATTGCCAGACCAAGGTGATGACAAGTGGGTGGACAAGATCCTTGAGCTCATGGAGACCGTGGACGAGTACATCCCCACCCCGGAGCGCGAGACGGACAAGCCCTTCCTGCTGGCCGTCGAGGACGTGTTCTCCATCTCGGGCCGAGGCACCGTGTGCACGGGCCGCGTCGAGCAGGGCATCGTCAAGAAGGGCGATGAGGTCGAGATCCTGGGCCGCGGCAAGAAGCCCCAGAAGTCCGTCATCACCGGAATCCGCATGTTCAACACCGACCTCCCTGAGGGCCCGGCAGGCTACACGGTCGGCGTCCTGTGCCGTGGTATCGACAAGGATGCTGTGTTCCGTGGCCAGGTGATCTGCGCCCCAGGCGCCACCAAGACCCACACCAAGTTCAAGGCCAACATCTACTTCGCCAAGAAGGACGAGGGCGGCCGATCCAACCCGGTGATGCCCGGCTACATGCCCGTGTTCTACTTCCGAACCTGCGATGTGACGGGCAAGATCGAGGGCATGGTGAGCTCTGATGGCAACGAGGTGCAGATGGCCATGCCTGGCGACAACATCACCTGCACCTGCGAGCTGATCGCCGGCACGCCCATCGAGAAGGGCATGCGCTTCGCCATGCGAGAGGCCACATCACAGCCGGACCCAAATCCTAATCCTTCGCTTCTTCAGCTGGGGGTGGTGGGCGGGATTCCCCGAAAGTCCCGGATCTCGTTCTTGCACAAAGCATGTGTTGAAAACATGAACGGGCTGGGCATCTTTGTCGTCGGCACTTGTACTAGGATGCCCAGTAGTACCTTTTTTCCCTTTTCGTAGTCCTAGGTTCCCTATAAAGTTAACCAATGCCAAAAAGGGAGCCCTTTTTTTTCCTAGGCTACTGGGCATCCTAGTGAAAGTACCAGTACGACCAGAACCAGGAGGTCCTGAAACTGTTGCACGACAGGCTTAGATTGTGACAACACCGACTGTGCTGCTGCTACTGCTACTGCTGCTCTCGCTGCTGCTGCTGTCCTAAACCTATCTAAAACCTAGAACCCTAAACCCTAAAGTAATACACTACTACTGCAACCGCTGCTGCTAGCCATCCCTCGCTCTTTACAGGGGCGGCAGTGAGGATGCCCACCAGTTTTTCCTCGGATGCTCCCCAAACTATACAAGCAGTAGTGAGTAGCACGGCAGTAGTCCTAGCAGCAGTCACCGCAGTCGTAGTTTTGAAATAGTGGCAGTCGATAGTGGTAGCAGAAGCGCCGTGTAGCCAGATGGCAAAGGCAAGAACATCTAGATTAGATGACTTCGGGAATGTCGCTTCAACAATGGTCACCTCAGACAACGTTCCTTTGCTTTGGGCGGCCCCATCACAATATACTGGAATCTTACGAAGCCGGCATGGCCATTGTGGGTGATCCCGCATTAATCAAACAAAGGTCATCATTGACCGACATGCCACAAAGCCCTAATAGAATCCACTCTTACGCTCAAAAAACCCGGTTGAAATCTGATTAGCTCCTACTACTCGCCCATGAACACCACACACTCAGACAAAGCCTTGAGCTACCGCAGACCCAGAACCATCGAAGACTGGCTCCGCACTGAACTCCGCTTATGCAAAACTTTGCATTACATATCATGTCCAGTTCCATCAACCATTAAACTGTATTAGTATTTTTATTAGAATTTAGCAAATCATTGAAATACTAGATTAAAATGTTTATTAAGCAAATTTGCAAGTCATTGAAATACTGTATTCAAATGTTTATTAAAAGCTTACAAATCATTGAATAACTGTATCAATATGGTTATCAAAAGTTTTACAAACCATTGACATACTGTATGATTACGTTAATAAAAATCTACAAATCATCGAAGGCTCGCTTACAGAACCCTACGACTCGGTTCTGCCAGGGCGGCCGCACGATCGGCCAGGGACTCATCGAGGAGACCATGCGCCTCGGATGTGGTTTGTACATTACAGGGTTTAGGGTTTAGGGATTTAGGGTTTAGGGTTTAGGGGTTTAGGGTTTAGGGTCTAGGTGAGAGGTTTCTATAAAGACTTTGTTTTGTAGGATTTGGGGTTTAGGGTTTAGGGGTTTCTGCATGGTCGCTTCTGAGAGGTCTCTCTCACGCTTTTAACTTTTGTTTTTCAGGATCGAGTTTTAGGATATGGGTAGTTGTCAAAATTATGGTCCCTTATTGGATACTCTAAATATCAGTTGCCGTATTATAATAGGGACCCAAAAAGGTACCATAATTTTGACCACCCTATAAGGGTAATATGGGGAGCATTGTTTCTTCTGCGAGGTCTCTAGAACGGTTTATAGGATGTGGGGTTAGGGTATGAGGATTTTCGGCTGATGAGATAAATCCTGCATTGCCCATAATAAGGAGTAAGGTAATGCAGGATCTGTATCATCAACCGTAATTATAGGTTACTTCACATGCGGATGGATGCGTTCAGGTTTGGGCTTCCTTTTAGTTTGAGTGGGCTTGGTCTATGGTAAACTCCTGAAAGTTGGAACACGGGTTTAGGATGATTAGTGTTAGGATTCCCTGTAACTTCCCTAAGCACGAAACCCTGCCTGGATGTTGCGGACGGAAAAAGGAGCTTTCAAAAACAACCTAAACCCACTTTCTGGCTTCTACTGTAGAATGTACATACTGTACCAGTTGGGATTCGGGGTTTAGGGTTTAGGGTCCTACTACCCCCGAAAGAGATCGATGGTTTTTTCTGAGCTCGTGCCTGCAAGTTTGTGGCCATGTGGGAGGTTCGGCCCAGGCCCGTTTAAAGGGAACTCCAGAAAGTTGGAATATGGTTTCAGGGTAGGATACCTCATAATTTACCATAAAGGGTTTAAGATAATCATATTCCAACTTTCTGGCTTTTACTTTAAGAAGAGTGTCCGCAAGGGCAAGAGGCTAGCTGCTACGGTTTCTGTCCCTCGACCCTCTGTATTCCTATTGCACCGCGCTTGCAGGGTGTAGCCTATACCAAAGTCGCGGGCTTCAGCGTGTATAGCACCGGGCTTCAATCCTCTGTTGGTTTTGAGCATGTGGGCTGGTGGCTTCATGATGCAAGGCTTCCGGATTTAAGGATGTAGCGTCGTCTAGATTTAGGAACCTTTTCCAATTCCCCGGTGCCGGACAGCAGCATCTTGATCGGTTCTAAGACAGTCAAGACAGGTCCTGCAGGATACTAAAGACCCCAAACCCGTCCTGGTAAAGGCCAAACCCTAAACACAGTAACAGCGAAAACCGCCTTCAGGTGAGAGGCACCATCAGAAAGGGCTGCCAGGGAAAGGTGGCGACAACAAGCTGTTCTCGGAAGGTCATTTTTGCTGGCAGAAAACCTAAAGCCTAAACCTCTTCTTCTTCTTCTTCTTACGATTAGTATTTGTTACTATTGTTATTATATAGTATACCCCGAGACCCTATTCTAATTACGAAAGCAGATTCAGATCGACATTGGACCGTCCGAATAATTTTCAGAGGCTTTGCCCTCCTATTCTCTGTGCCTCGTGGCCAGCGCCTGCACTCAGAGGTCCAGCGACGTCTCAAGAATCGGAGGTCCAGAGTAGGAAGTATCAGAGTGCAGACGGCTTGGAGTGGGGAGCAAGCACCTTCAAAGTTTTACTCCGCAAGGGGTAAAAGGTGAAGCACTGCTGCTCGCAATGCAGAAGAAGGTAGAGGTAGCAACTCTAAGCCCCAGCCTTGACCCTGAACCCCCGGTCAAGCCTCAATAGGGTTTAGGGTTTTTAGGGTTTAGGGGTTTAGGGTTTAGGGTTCAGGGTTTTGGGCTTAGGAACAAGCCAGAGACCTCAACTAAACACGGCAACATGAGACTGCTCCCTCAGCAAAACTAGTAACTAGACAAACGTTCAGGCGCCTGTTGTCATGTGAGCGACGATGGTCCGTTTAAGACCGGGGCCAAAGAATTAGTCTTTACTGACGTGACGTGCCCCAAGCCTCGAAGCTTTAAGCTTTAAATCGCTTACAAAAAGCCTTCCATTGCAACAGCAGAGTCCCGTTTCAATTGGACTATATGGCAGTTTTCATAGCTTTGACTATACAAGCTCGCGCGTATGAGAAGAGGCGAACCCGAGGGGCCGATCATCGTTGGGTTCTCGGGCTTTGACGAATCGAATTGATGCCGGATCTAGGATTTAAGTTTCAGGTCGAGTTGTGCGTCAAGGTTAAAGTTAGCTCACTGGAATTCACTCTCTTGTCAGTCAGTCATGGTATGGCAATGACCATTTCAATCGACAGCTGCATGGTCCCATCATGATCCCCGCGGTCGCCACCACCATCGCCATCAACATCATCATCACCACCATGCTCAGCATCATCATCGTCATCAGGAAGCCGCCGAAACCACTACGACCACCATCACGATGCCACCACAAATGCTGCCGCCGACGGCCAAGCATGCCTAAACCCTGCAGCTGTGAGCCCTCACCCTTCGCAGCCTCCAGAACACGTAGACCCAAGTAAGCCCGAGCACCTACCGATGATGTCGGTAAGAAATACCAGAAATGTGGAGTTCCTTATATTAAGGATTCTATTACTTGGAGTACTATATTAGAGTCCCCTATTCCTTATATTAAGGATCCTACTATTTGGAGTACTATATTAGAGTCCCCTATTCCTTATATTAAGGATCCTATTATTTGGAGTACTATATAAGAGTCCCCTATTTTCGGCCATAGGATCAAATAGGATCTTAACTTTAAAAGACTGAGGCTACTGGGCCGAAGCCTAGCAGCTCTAAGACCCGAATCATAGGAGGCCAAAAGGGGTTTTGGGGTTTTGGGGTTTAGGGGTTAGGGTTTAGGGTTTAGGGGTTAGGGGTTTAGGGTTTAGGGTCATAGGAGGCCAAAAGGGGTTTAAGCCTATGGGGGTTTAGTAGGGATCAGGGTTCCCATAGTAGGGTTTGTATTAAGGAATCCCTACCCCAAGAATCTTAAACCCCCGTTTGGGCCTCCCATCACCGAATTATCGGGCCATGATGTCGACGTTGAAACAAAGCCCTGCAGGCACAAAGCATCCTAATACGAAGGCATCCCATCTTCCGAGGGAATGAGTTGTTTTCGTCAGGGGTCGAGGTTAATCCAAATCTACTCTGCAATCGACTTCTATCTTCTTTTTAAACTTTTTGGTCGAAGCCGAACACTAAACCCTGAGCCCGAAGCCCTTATAAACCCTAAACGTCGATGCTTCTTGTTGAAATTTGGCTCGAAGACCTGACTTCACCAAAGACTCCTCGCCGCCGGCGCGGGCCCTGGGGCGTCTTAGAGTTTAGGATTTACTCTGGCTCTTGAAGAGGAAGGATTCTCCAAAAAAATACAGGCTTTCCATGTTTCTTCATGGTTGCGTATGGCTTTCGGAGTGATACCGTTATACCGAAGTCTAGTGTCTGTTGGGTTTTAGGGTTTACCCAGAGGCCCAGTAGTAGTTCCTTTTTGGGATTACCTTATAGGGTTCTAAATATGAACCCCAAAAAGGAACTACTATGGGGCTTTAGAGTTTAGGGTTCACGGTCTTCCGACACGGAGTTGAGTCCGCCTGCGACGTTGGAACTTCGACCCCCCTAAAACCTAAACCCTAAACCCAGTGCCCCTGAAACGTTCAATGCTTTGATTGTGGTTTCTTGCGTCTTCTTCGGGAGCCTTTGTGGGCGGAAAGCCTGAAATCTATCTATCTATCTATCTATCTATATATAACTATATATACATACCCGTATATATAGTTATCTGTGTGTTTGTTTATCTTTATGTATATATATACACAGGTACATATGTATATATACGTATATGGATAGATAAGGTTTTGGGGACTGGGGCCTAGAGCTTGGGGCTTTGGGGCTTTAGACGGCTCGGGGTGCATCCTGGACTAAAGTCTCATAGTGAGCCCGTAAAAGTCCCCGTATGATTATGAAACTTGTACAGTTCCTCCCTGGATCATGTTCTAGTTATGAATGCCCTTACGGTGTCTTGACGGCTGCAAGCCCACAAGGAACCTTTGACTGCACCGGTAGTGTTTGATGGATATCCCGATTGCTTATGTGTATGTCCTATATACTTTTCACCCTCAGGCATGCGCGCTAATCCCCAAATCCTCAATCGCAGCCACCACCCTACAGCCCAACTCGCACTCTTGGGCAACCTCGACAAAGCCCTCGTAGACTCCATACAAGGCCTCTCAGGAAAGAAGTCTCTAATGTAGGAACCTGATATAGCCCCCAAAATGGTAGGACTCATATAAGGAACCCTAATAAAGGCCCAAGGTTTCTTAATCACTAGGACCTAGAGTAGGCCCTTATTCCCTTTTTTAAGGGTTCAGGTTCCTTTACAAGCCCCTTTAAACCAAAAAGGGCACCCTTTTTATTCCTAGGGTACTCTTGGGTCTAGATCAGGTTCCTACATTACCCCACAAAACCAGAGTAGGAGCCTATCATACCGATAGGCCCCATAGTAGTTCCTTTTTTGGGGTTCATATGTAGAATTCTACAAGTCCCAAACAGGAACTACTATGGGGCCTATGTATGGGTAGAGCCTTAGTATTTGGAATAGGGCTTGTGTTTTTTTTTTTTAATGTCGTGATGGTGCTTTCGAACCCCCAAACTCTAGTAGTAAGCAAATGTCAAGGCGCCGGTACTACACCTCAACCCGTACCCATGGGGCTCTGGGGTTTGGAGTTGACTGCATGGGGGGTCTGATGACTTGGGCCTGGTGAGGGCTTACCCTAAGGCTCCATCTACCCATATGGGAGTTTCCGAAAATAGGGGACCCTAATATGGTACCCTAAATAGTAGGCTCCTTATTATAAGGACCCCAAAATAAGGTACCCCTAATTTTCGGTTTCTCCCATATAGTGTATGCTTAGGCCTTCAAGTAATAGAGGTACCTTTATTAGGGACCCCCTTTAAGGCGTAAGTATCTACTATACAGGTATACGGAGCCTTTGGCTTAGCTGTTGGTAAACCCTTGAGGGCTACGCTTGAAGGTATTGTGTAACTAGGCATCTCCAACCCTAGCTTAACCTATCAAGCCCTGCTTCTTTTGTAGAGTCCCTATAAACGCCATTACTAGCGGACTAGCGTTCATAATAAGAGCCGACAAAAACGTAGGGTTTGGCAGATTAAGGTGGAGTTCACACCATGCAAACCGTCTCAGGCCCCGAAAGTGTTAGCACCATGAAACTTAAACCTTACACCCTGACCCTCAACCCAAAAGGCTAACCCTAAACCCTAAGCCCAAACTTGGAGGTACTAACTTCGCTTTGAAGTTTGGAAGACATGGCTCGCAACAGCCGTGGGGGCCTTAGAACGCTGCTATCACTATTGCGTGGGCTCTCCTCAGGAAGTGTTGTTCGCCATTGCATGGACATATCAACGCTTTTCAGGACTATTTAACTAGCATTTATTCATGGGTGTAGGGGGCTTGACTAGAGCACGGGGCCATGTATGCCAATGGTTGCACATAGTTTATATGCTGGCGCCAAAGGAAATAGCATCCGTAATCATCAGCCACTTCTTTCCCCTCAAGTGCAGACCTTTGAACGAAGCTGAGGATCCACCGCTTTCGTCCTGGGAGGTTGCGCGGCCTCTGCCGCAGTGGCCGGAAGCCTACTAGCGGGAAGTTCCAGAATCTTTGCTATGGAATTGGAGTTAGGTGTCACGCTCGCAGAGACAAGCTTCTGAACGAAAGAGGCCTGCATATAACTGATTCCTATGAAGGCCAGTTAGCGTTGTTGCTGCACAGGCTTTGCACAGACACCTCCAACTCTTGATGCGAAAATGAACTGTGAAACCAAAATCAAGACATCGATTGTTAAGTCATAAGCAGCTAAATCCCGACCTGCCAAGCTAAACCGTAAGGCATAGAATCTACAAGGTGTTCGCAAAGGAAGCCTTATGCTGAAGCTCAGCATCCTTTTGGGGCTTTAGGGTTTAGGGCTTACCCTACGGCCTCAAAGTAGTTCCCTTTTGGGGTTCATATTTAGAACCTTATGAGGCAATCCCAAAAAGGAACTACTATGGGGCCTCTCGGTAGTGTAAACTCCGAAATGCCTGGTAGAGCCTCAGTAACCAGCATATTTGTTTCATGGTCCTCGCTTGCAGCTCAGGGTGAAAATCTGTCATGCTGCATGACACAATCACGTTTCGATTGTCCGTCATAGGAGGCCGAAAGGGGTTTAAGCCTATGGGGGTTTAGTAGGGATTAGGGTTCCCATGATAGGGGGTTCATATTAAGGAATCCCTACCCCAAGAATCTTAAACCCCCCTTTTGGCCTCCCATCAGTCCGGCCCCAAGCACTTAACCCAGACCCCCCAATCAATCCTTCAAATGGGAAGTCGTAGCTGCGGTTGCCTTTTTGGACACGTCCGGCAACGGCAAAGCGCCCAGACACCTGAACAATCAACCCTGAACCCAAAACCTGGTCTCTACGAGGGGAGGGGCTTCCTACGGTTGATGATATACATTCTGCGTTACCTCAATGGCCCTGCACTATGGGAATTACGGTATATTACTCATTATGGGTAACACCGGATATATGTCATCAAAACCCTAAACCCTACCCTCCTCCTTGCTTAACAGCCCTCTGAGATCCTTCGCTGCGGGGTTTGGGGGGCCGCATCTTAGGCCGGGCTCGCGTCGCAGAGCTTCGCCGTGGCCGGGAACGGTCCCCAGACACAGGCATGTGGGAGAAGAGTTTGGGGGTTTACCTATAGTCTCCATTGTAGTTCCTTTTCTTGGTTTAACCAAATATATAATAAGGATCCTATAAGGTAACCCGAAAAAGGAATTCCAATGGAGACTATAGGTAGGGTTTTGGTATTTGGGGGTTTTGGGTGTTTGGGATTTGGGGTTTAGGGTTAGGGGGTTAGGGGGTTAGGGGGTTTCAGGTTTCGGGCGAGAAGGGGTTTGAAGAGCTTAGTGCTCCTTGTTCACGATCTTGGCGAAAAGCATAGACGAATCCGAAGATGTAAACGACCTGAATCTAAAATATAGCGGGTTATCAACATCTCTCAGCCTTGAGCCCTACATGAGCACGAAACTTCATGAAACCATGTTCCCTAAACCGGCAACCCTGGATGGCATGGATCTCCTTGAAAGTAGGAGCCCGTGCGCATGACTTCCCTGCGCGGCCGCGCTGCCGAGGCGAGGTTCGGTCTGTGCTTTCTTAGGTTGAGGGGCATGAATGAAGTTCTTTTTCAGGCGTGTCAGTAGATACTTATAACTATATATGGCGTTGCAGTTCTAGAGTAACTGCAATTAAGGTTTACTTTACCCCAGTCGACAAGTCTGAAACTCCCCAGAGAATCAAATCAGAGAATGCTCCCCGCGCGCACACACCCAATGAGCAGAAACCCCAGCAAAAAGCTTCAGGTTTTGGGAGTCGTTGGGCGCCTAGTGCAGTAGCCGCAACTACCCTAAGGTTCCACGGTAGTTCCTTTTTGGGGTTCATGTTTAGAATTCTATAAGGTAGTCCCAAAAAGGAACTGCTATGGAGCCTCTGGGTACCCCCTTAGATGAGATGAAGTGGCTTCTTCTAGCAGGTTTTACCATATGATGAGTAGTGAGAGACTGCTAAACCCCTAAACCCCAAACCCTAAAACTCAAAACCCTGAACCCCTAAACCGTAAATCCTACAGACTCGACTCCTTCCAGACGAGCTCCTCCAAAGAGATGCCTTTGGGCGCCCTCGCGCTGGCCACTGCCGGAGTGGGGGCCTGAAAAATACCTAGGAAGGGCCCTTTTGGGACTTTTTGGGGTTTAGGGTTTGAGGTTTAGGTATGTAGGGGGTTAGGGGTTTAGGGTTCAGGGTTGAGGGTTTTAGGGTTGAGGTTTTTGCGCTTTAGGGCCCTTGCGGGCTTTCTTAGGTTTAGGGTTTCCTCTCTTTTGGATTCGGGGCTCAGGGGCTTGTGGGGCTAGCACTAGGGTTTCTAGGGCTCGGGGTTTTACCCTCTACTTGGAGGTTCATGTGTAGTTATAAGTGGGGTTATAAGTCCACTAATGTGGGTCATAACTATAGTCATCCCACTTATAACCCTACTTATAACTACCCATGAACCTCCAAGTAGGGTTCAGGGTTTGGACTCGAGGGATGGGGTTTCAGGTTTGACGGGGCTTGCAGGGTTTCGGAAAGTTTTGGGCTTCAGGGCTTTAAAACCCTAAACCCTAAACCCTAAACTCTGTTTAGGCTTCTTTTGTCTAGGGCTTTCGGTTTTCATTAGGCGCTTTAGGGACTGGAGGGTCTATATAGGGTTTAGGGTTTAGGGTTTAGTGTGAGATTAGAGCCTTCCTGTGCTTACTTGGTCGTCCTGGTCGCTGAGTAACTATACCTACCTAATAACTAGCTAACTAACTTACTTACATACGAACTTACTTGACGCACTTGTTTAATCCGCCTATTAACTAACTTAACTAACTTTACTACTAAACTCATTAAACTACCTAACGAAATTGACCAACTGAGCTGGGCTGATACATAAACTGGCTTAACCAATTAGACCAACTAAACTAACTAGGCTATCTAACCCTAAGGCTCCATGTGCCCATATAGTATATACTTAGGCCTTAAAGTACCCACATAGGGACCCCTGTAAGGCCTGAGAATCTACTATAAAGGCACATGGAGCCTTTGGGTAGCTGAACTGAAGTAGCCAACTATCTTTCTATCTCAGGAACTCAAGCCAAATCAGCCCCAAATCCGAGCATGTAATATGTGCACATAGAAGAATAGAGCTACATATCTAGGATGCCCAGTAGTACCCTTATTCCCTTTTTGTAGTCCTAGGTTCCTTATAAAGTTACCCAATACCAAAAAGAGAGGCCATTTTATTCTTAGGTTACTGGGTATCCTAGATTATATATATATATATATATATGGTAACCCCCCCCCCCCCCGCCGTTGACAGACCATGCCCTTTCAACTCAGTCGTAGTGCATGGTCTGTGATCGGGGGGAGGGGGCACTCAGCTTTCAAAAACTCAATTCCAAAATATCAAAAATTCTCTCCCCTAACTTTCCGGATTTACAAAATGTCCAAAATTTCCAAAATTTCCGAAATGTCCAAAATTTCCAAAAAGTCCGCCCTTATGTTTTGGAAAAATCCTGTCCACTAGGTCGGGCCGTTTTGGAAATTTTGGAAATTTCGGAAATTTCTGAAATTTCGAAATTTTGGAAATGTCGAAATTTTGGAAATTTTGGAATTTTGGATATTTTGGAAACTCTGGACCTTGGAACTGATTCTCAGGAGGGCTGATTGTGACCCATCCGATGACAGACCATGCGCTACGACTTACTTGCAAGGGCAAGGGCTGTCAATACTCATGCCCATATTTAGACGAATATCTCTCTATTTATCTTTCTATCTATATATACATATATGTATTGATACTCCTACATATAGTATTGCCATTGCTAATACTGACATTGATCATTTGCTGAATGCTCAAGCTAATACCAGCATTACCACTAATATTACACTTCTATAAAGCTTAGTACGAATATGCATAACACAAATACTAATATGATTAGTATTGCTATTAGTACTCCTACGCATATCAATAATCATATTCATATTGATAATAGTGTATATTAATACCAATACTAACACACACCTGTATGTACTAGTGTACATAAATATGCATGCCACTATACAAATCCTTTAACTCACTCGTGTATTCAACTGTTAGAATTTCACGTGATCAAGAGTAAAAAACAAACATTCTTGCGAATGTAGAACATCAATAATATTATTGTACTAACGCTAACACTACTGCTAATACTTAACACAATCTTTAAACTAACATCAATATTTACATAGCTATTGATACTCCTACGAATACGAATACGTAAACTCTTGTGCGTTAACAGCGTAGTGCTATCACCAACACTAATACGGACTTTGATAATCTGCTGAATATTCAAGAATGCCACTAGTATTTCCAGGATGAACACTCATATTATGGCTAATACGAGTATAAATAGTCCTAACTCTAATAATATTGACATTGATACTCCTACGAATACCAATAGTATATTCATATTGATATGAAAACTAATATCATTACTAATAGACACCTGCATATACTAATGTACATAAGATACATACCACTATCTTGAGATGCAGATATATACATCAGTGCATTCATGTATTGTTGCTTTGGCATAGGCATATACCCATATACCAATGTAACAATATACTTCTCGTTGTTGATTGTTGTATGAATATACTATACGAATATGTGACTATACTCATATACGACTACTACACTATGCAAGAATACCGACATGACAAGTTCGTATACCAATATGCCAACATATGATATACTTATAAATGAATAGGTAAAACAGTAATATAGTACACATACTCGTATACTAATATGCTAACGTACGAATATACTGGTATGTCAATATACTAGTAAGCTAATACAACAATATAGTAGTGTATTCATGCACCAGTTGTACTAACATATAAAATATACTAGTATACAAGTATGCAAATATTTTACTGTTCGAATACATTGATGTATTGATATACTAATCTGCTTATATACGAGACTATCAATACACTAATATATCAAAACTAACTAGTTCTAATATTGATACTAATACTAGCACTTCTGCGAATATAAGCTGCTGTTGAACCCAGCATTGAGACTAATACTGATACTACTCGTTGACACTGGCACTAGCGCTAACTCTAACACGAACATGAGCACTAACACTAATGTATCGTTGGCAATACTGATATGTATACTCACACCAAACAATAGTACTAATATTAATAACAATACTCACCCTAATACCGATACTACCACAAGACTATTACGTAACTCATGTGCCGCGCGTCTGGTGCTATACTATGTACCTCATGTAAAGGTTTTGCTTCATAGAATATCGTCGTGCACGGTGTTTTTTAGACCCGCGGTCTGTCACTGGGGGGGGTGAGCATATATATATATATATATATGTATACATACACGCACTGCTGCGTTTCAGATACTGATTTCTATTTTATAGGGTTCCAGCAAGTACCTACTGATGGCTTCTAAAGGGAGTAGAAAGTTTGAGTAGAGCTGCGGTTGAAGTGTTTAGGGGTTTAGGGTTGTGGGGTTCATCCCCGGAACTGTATATCCCATAAGCCCTAAATCCTACATCCAGAGACTCCCATATCCCTTAATTAAGGAATATACCTTAAATTATAGAAGGATCCTTAATATGGTTTAAGGTATATTCCTGAATTAAGAATATTGGAGTCTCCGGGAAATCCTAGTGAAGCCTCGGCCCTTCACCTAAGCCCTAAGCGGGACCTCTGGAGGACACCTGACCCCGCCAAGGTCGCAGGCATCTATGGCGCCAACAGTGCCGCGCTCAGAGCATGGCCTAGAAGGCAGCTTATGGCTTATAGCCCCCTCTAGGCCCTCATGCTGGTTGTCCGTCGCAGGCCTTGTCCCCTACACCCCAGAACCCTTAAGCCTCAACCCTAAACTACCTACACTATTTTGGGGGTTCCTTATTATGGTTATGGTAAACATACCCCCAAACCCTATTCTAATTATTAAGGCCCATATATTAAGCCCTCAACCCTGGCCCTCTTCGACATCAGGCCGAAACTCTAAGAAGTCCAGGGCGCAGGCCGTTGTCCGCCACGCGAAGGACACTCGGGGGGAGTTTCGACTTATTTTCCAGCTGTTTAATCTCCCTCCCTCCCTCTCTCTCTCTCTCTCTCTCTCTCTCTCTCTCTCTCTCTCTCCGGTCACCAGTATTAGTGTTGTTGTCATTTGACATCATTTTTTATCTGCGGTTGTTATCCTTGTTGTCATGCATACTCTTCTAACTGCTACTATTATTTTTATAAGCAGCCTCCCGATTGTTATTGTTATCGCTACGGATCTTTTTACTCGTCCTGTCATTTCTCTTATTGTTCTTCTTATCAAGGCCTCTAGGCTCCCCGAGCAGTCACGGCAAGGCCGAAATTGGTCGGAAAGCCTCTGTTGTCTTTGCTTCTGTTGTCGCATTGACTTGCATAGTCCTCTGATTTTTTCATTTCCCTCCGTATACTATAGTACTACCTGAAACCCCAAACCCTAAACCTCTCAACCCCTAAACCCCTCAACCCCAGACCCTAATAATTAGTATCCGGAGCGGCGCACCTTGTCGCCGAGCCGCTCAGGCAAGGTGCGAGCAGCGACGTCAACTGGAAGTCCCTCCCTCCCACCTCCTTTTTCTCAGCTAGGACCATGTCACTGATTTTGTAAGCCCTGTAGGTTTAGGGCTTAAGGGTGCGAGGGTTAGGTCAAGGGTTCAGAGTGTAGAGTTTGGGGAACAAGGGTTTTAGAGAGAGAGAGAGAGAGAGAGAGAGAGAGACAGAGAGAGAGAGAGAGAGAGAGAGAGAGAGGGAGAGAGAGAGAGAGAGAGAGCGATAGAGACAGAGAGAGAGAGAGAGAGAGAGTGTGTGCATCGCGGTGTAGGGCCAGACTTAGGAAGAATGCTCTAGGAGCACACAGACCAACCTACAGGTACTGAGCGTACCTTGCTACAAACAAGAAGCCCGGATAGACGGTGAAGATACGAAACGAAACAGGAAGACATCAAATCTATGAAGCCGTATCGGAGCGTCCGGAAACCCTACTACACTCTTCACAAAAGGCCCAGATATATATCCTCCTCGAACAACGACATCTGCAATCGAAGCTCCAACAAACCGTGGAGATTTCAACAACGGTTTAGGGCTTAGGGTCTTGAGGGTTTAGGGTTTAGGGACGAATAATTACTTTTATGAAGCCATATAGACAACCTGGAACATTCAGAAGCACTTTGAACTCCGAAAAGGCCTTGCAGAAGCTAGGACATCCTAAACCTAAACAACCCTAGCCCACAATCCTAAGCCCTAAACCGTACATTCCTAAACCCTACACCCTAACTTAATCCTAAAGCCTAAAAATTCTACACCCTAAGTCCTGAAACCACGTCAGGACCACATCAACATCGGGACCATCGGCCACGTCGACCACGGCAACTGGGTTTTGGAGTACCATACTTCGTTAGTTTTTTGGGCCTGTTCCTGAAAGGAGCGGTTATGAAAACCCTAAACCCAAAACCTTGAACCCTAAACCTTACGCCCTAAACCTTGAACCCTAAACTTAACACCCTAAGCCTTAAACCCTAAACCTTAAACCCTAAACATTCCTAAACCCTAAACTGTATAAGCCCTAAACCCCTAAACTCTCAAAATCGCCGCCCTCGGTTTCTTCAACTCCCAGGCAAGACCACGCTCTCGGCAGCGATCTCCCTGGTCTGCGGCCAGCCAGACCCTCGGGCTCAGCCCCCGAATTTGTATACGGGATCCTTTAAGGGATCCTTTGAGATCCCCTTTAAGGATTTCCCCCTTTAAGGATGGATCCCCCTTAAGGGATCCTTAAGATCCTGCTTTAAGGGATCCTTGAGGCTTTAGTTGTTTTTAAGGTTATGGTTTTCGCATGTTCATAGGTTACAGCCTGAATCTACAGGATCCCCAAAGAGTTCTATAAGGAATCCCTAAAGGGCTCTATAAGGGATCCTTAAAGGGTTCTATAAGGGATCCGTGTTAGGGAGCCCTGATAAGGAAGGCGGGGCCAGTTTATGTCTACGGATAGCATGTACATTACTCCTTAAGTTGGTATAAAGGAGAGACTCCAACATCCCTTTTAGGGTTTGGGGGCTTCGGGTTCCTCTGTTTAGGGGTGCGAAGTTTAGGGTTTAGGGGTTTAGAAGAGTTTCGGGTTTTAACCTACGAGTTAAAGCTGAGTTACTGTCCTTAGTGAATTAAGACAAGGGGTCCCTGTGATTGTTTTTAGTCTTACTACTACTCGCCTTTTACTGTTATTGTTAGTTAATTAATGTTATTCTTGGTATGATGATTAATAGTATATCATCATTATTATTATCATTGTTATTATTATTACTATTATTAGTATTATGAATTCGGAGTCTTTGGCTCCTTCCGAAATGTAAGGGCCCCAAAACTCCGCGCCCCGCGCTGCCGGCAAGGTTTAGCACCTCCGACGACACCACCAAGAAGTCGTACGAGGCTGCGGCTGGAAAGTGTAGGGGTTGTATATATGGGTGCTTGTCAAAATTAGGGTCCCTTTTGGGGTCCTTATTATGAAATTAGGGTCCCTTTTCTGGGTCCTTACTATATTACGGCACCTATGATTTAGGATACCAAAAAAGGGGCCATAATTTTGACAACCACCCATATGTTGTATGGTTTAGGGGTCTTTGGGCCTAAGGGTTTACGATTTGGGTTTCGTGGGTTTCGGTTTTGAGGGTTTAGGGTTTATTGCTTAAGGGAGGGTGCCGAGAGGGGTGGCATATGACCCAGTGATCCCTGATTCTCCCTCAGGACGCTAGGGTTCGGTCGGCACCTCTAATTGCCCCACCCCCCCTCCCCGAACCACCCCTTAAGACCTCCTACCCTAAGGGTCCAAAGGGCCTAATAACTAGGTACTCGGTTTTAGGATCGTAGTTATGCAGGCTAGGATTTTGGAGAGTATATGATTATCAGGTACTTCGGTTGATGATATAAATCCTGCATTACCTTAAGGACACTAAACTATGGGAATTATGGTATATTCCCTATAATTCGTCATGCAGGATACATATCATCAACCGTTGGAGCCTTGGGGAAATAATCGGTAAACCTCTGCCCAGCCCACATAATTCCTGTTGTGACGGTCGGTGGGTCATTGGTAGAGGGCTCTAGTCCCAGGCCTCAAAAGGTGGGATGAAGGTCGGTAGGATGAAGGATCCCTTATATAAGAACTCTTAATTGGGAATATCCCACCTACCTTCATCCTAATCATATACTCTCCCAAATCCTAACCAACTACTATCCTAACACCGAGTACCTGATTATTGGGTCCTTTGGACCATTGGGGTAAGAACACTGAAACTCTTGTTAGCTCAAAGCCTTTAGAGCGACAAATGGGAGTTTCTGAAAATAGGGGACCCGAATATGATACCCTAAATAGTAGGATCCTTATTACATGGACCCCCAAATAAGGTACCCCTAGTTTCGGAAACTCCCAAATCGGCAGGAGATCGACAACGCCCCCGAGGAGCCCCGGCTGAGGGGGGGGGGGGGGGCGTTTTGTCAGGGCTTTTTAAGGTGTGTCTCACGGGTACCTGTTTAACCCTAAGGCTCTAAATAGCACAAAAGCCTTATTTGGACCCAAAAGCCTTAAAATATGAGTCCTTAGAGCCTCAGAGTAAGGATTTGTAATGATTTGTATACCGAAATCATAATTATTATGAAGCCCTAAAAGTGTAGGGTTATGTAGGGTCCAGCTCGGTCCTGTTATGGGTCTTGGGGTTAAGGGTTTGAGGCTTCAGAACTGTGGCGCTTGATTTGTGTTGGCCTAGCTTCTTGCAGGCGACCGAGCTCTCAGAGTAGGTATTGTTTAGAGTTTCGGGTTTAGGTTTAGGGCATTGAAGGGGCCCAGGGTTGGGGCGCCTTCCAAACGTTTCATTTAGGGTTCAGGGACACTGTTTGCTTATATGGCATGTTCCTATCCATACTGTTGGTTAGCCATCAAGCCACCATGTTGCAGAATAGAATGTAGGAGCTTAAATAATTACCTATACCCTTTTGGGGTTTCTTCTATAAGTATAGTATAATGGGCCCCAAACCCTATTCTAATTATTGAGGCCCCTATATACCCTCGTAAACCCCTACAGTGCAAAAAGGGCCCTCGAAGCAGCCGGGGGAACCAGAGACTCCCAAGATCCCTTAATTAAGGAATATTCCTTAAATGTAGGAACCTGATATAGCCCCCAAAATGGTAGGACTCATATAAGGCCCCGTAATAAAGGCCCAAGGTTTCTTAATCACTAGGACCTAGAGTAGGCCCTTATTCCCTTTTTTAAGGGTTCAGGTTCCTTTACAAGCCCCTTTAAACCAAAAAGGGCACCCTTTTTATTCCTAGGGTACTCTTGGGTCTAGATTAAGGAATATTCCTTAAATCATATTAAGGATCCTAGTATAATTTAAGGTATATTCCTTAATTAAGGGGTGTAGGAGTCCCCTAAACCCTAAACCCTCTAGATCCCTTATAGGATCCCTTAAAGGAACCCTAAATAAAAGTAAGGGATATTGGAGCCTCTTGGGACCTGGATCAGGAGCGTGCGCGCGGTATCACCATCAACGCCTCGCACATCGAGTACGAGACAGAGACCAGGCCAGGGTTTGCGGTTTTAGGGTTTAGGGTTTAGGATCTAGGGGTGGTTTAGGGTTTAGGGGTTTAGGGTTTAGGATCTAGGGTTTAGGGTTTAGGATTTAGGGTTTAGGGTTTAGGATCTAGGGTTGGTTTAGGGTTTAGGGTTTGGTATCGATAGGTTCAAGTTGGGGTTTAGAGTATGGGGTCTTGATTTGTATGGTTTTTGGAGTACGGGGTCTTGATTTTTATGGTGTTTAGAGTAGGGGGCCTTGATTTTTATGGCTTTGGATTGTGGAGACGCAGGCTAGGTTTTTTGTATGCGGCGCCCCGAGCGCACGAGTCTTGCAACACTCCAAAGTAGCAGTGAAGAGTCCAGATTGAGAACATTGAGAACCGTGCAAATAATTGCTGGGTCGAACACCAAGCTGTTGCTGACTCCATGTACAAGTGGCCATGCTACGAAATGATAGTGGGAGTCACGCTTGTGCTTGGGGAATCGTACTAACAACAGTAACCACGGCAAAAAGCGCTAGGAGAACCCGATCAAGATATTCTACCGGTTTAACTCAAGCCCTAAACCATAAATCCTAAATAGTTTCTGAGGAGAATGGAAATCTTATAGGGCTACGCCTAGGGCCAAGGAGCAGTGAATGCTTGACGAGTTTTTAATGTCCGGCATGACCGGGAGCCCCCCAAAACCCTAAGACCCTCAACCCTCAAGCGGTACTCAAACCCTAAGACCCGAAAGCACAAAAGCCTCATCCTCGAAATCCCTAAACTTCTGGCCCAACTACCCGCTAATATACCCCAAGTACCCACCATTAAGGGCCATAAGGACTCAATTAAAGGGCTTTTTGGGGGACCCAGGAAAGTCCGCCTCTTCCGGATTGGCCGTCAAACCCTCAAGCCGGCTAATATAGGGGCCTCAATAAATTCACCTATACTGTTTTGGGGGTTCCTTATTATAAGCAACAGTACAATGGGCCCCAAAACCCTATTCTAATTCTTAAGGCCCCTATTTTAAAAGCCCCTAAGCCCCGAAACCCCCAAAAGGAAACCCTAAAAAGCCTCGAAGTCCCGACGACTTCGGCGACCTTGCGGGAGCCTGATGCCACATCCCCATGGCCGCCTTCGTTTGCATAACTCCAGAGGCACTATTTATTCACCATTCTAACAGGATTTAGGTTTTATTGTAGTATGCTGATATTCAAAAACCCTAACGGAACAGTTTGGCAAGTTTTCCGGACCCAGTGTTGTCGAGCTGCCAGGCACTACTGCCACGTGGACTGCCCTGGCCACGCAGATTACGTCAAGAACATGATTACAGGAGCGTGTTCAGTGCTTTCAACCTCCTCGTTTTTTGCCGACATGTTGTGGTACAAGGTTAAGTCAAACATGATGGCATACTTGCAAGAGCTTGTTCATGTGAGCGCAGAGGTCACAAAGGTCTGTGCGTGCGTGGGTGGGTGAGGGTGTGAGGGTGTGGGTGTGCGTGTGAGTGTGCGTGTGCGTGTGGGTGTGAGTGTGAGTGTGTGTATGTGTATGTCACATGTGTTTGTTTGCCTGTTCGTGCTTGTCTGTGTGTGCAGATGAGACTACACATTGTGTGTGGTTGTACATATTTATAGTGTGTATGTATATATGTATGTATATGTATATATATATATATATGAGCGAGAGAGTTTAAGGTCTTCTTGGTTTGCATGCAGTCAATCATTATAAGACGTGCACAGATACATACATGCATACATGCGTTTTTGTGTGAACACAGATAGACAAGTGTTCATGCAGACGTTTGTCTACGTATATGTACGTGCGAAGGCAGAGCTTCTTGAATTGCCAACGGATCGGAATCCCCGTCCCAATCCCATCTGCTGTCAGCGGTCTCCCTAAACCACTAACCCTAAACCCTGAATCCGGGTCGATACTGTGGCCTTCTTCAGCTCCCAACGGTCCCAAAGGATGTCCGCCAGGGCTTTTCGTGTTCGCCCATAAGAGCTGCTGTCACCACTGTCCTGAAACCACTCTGCGGGGGTTTCCCCCTAAATTTTATTGTCATACTCTCTATTGCCCTTAGCTTAGACATCATTCCTGTCTTTGATCCCTAGCTCTCTCTTACATACGGATAGTACACCAGGGTTAGGGTTTTATAAGGTACTATTAGGGACCTACAGGGGTTCGCTATGCCTGAACCCTCGCAAGGAGCTTGCCAGATGGATGGCGGCATCCTCGTCATTTCATCCCCGGATGGCCCCATGGCACAGCTCGTTGGTTGCAGCGATACAGGGTTTAGGGTTTAGGGTTTAGGGTTTAGGGTTTAGGGTTTGTACTTGGTTCCAGTTGGCTGAAAGACACTTGCGAGACCCCGCGCTCTTGTGCGTGATGCCCTGTAAGTCTAAATAAATCACATCGCTAAGATGCGCAGCAACATCGACTATACAAAGAGATATTCTTGTATTCAGCTACACATCATACACGCATGCATGTCTGTATGTCTGTATGCATGCATGCTTGTATAGAAGTATGTATGTATGCATGTATGTATGTATGTACGTAGGTATGTATGTATGTATACATGTATGTATGTAGCTGAGCCTCACGTCCTTATTTCCCATTGCCCCGTTACGAGCATTGTGGGCACATGTTTCGACGGGAGGGCAAATGGTCGGACTTGCAGCCTGTGCACGGACGCCATCTTCGGCAAGACGCCCAACGTGCTCAGCGAGCGCGTGGAACATGTGCAGAATAAGCAAGACCGCCGGATGACTATATATGACTATGGCTGGACTGGAGCGGCTGGTGGGTGAGGGCACGCAAGTCCGGCATGAAGTGCCTGAGGTCTCCGTTTTCTGCAAGTATCACCCCGTGGACCGCGGATTACAACGAGAGACAGATGGAGCTGTTGGGTATTTTGGAGACCATGCAAGAGCAAGGTAGCGTTGATCATACTTGCGCGAACTGGTGGCGTTGACTCAGGAGGAGGACAGCGAGCATTTCCACCCCAAAATCCTGCGGAAACTTTATGCACAATACACGGCCATCTACCTGCAGGACCAAGAAACAGTTGAGTCCCATCAGGACGTCAGCCAGTGCGGCATGACCGAACATTACGCGTGGTTCGGCGTGGCAGAGGGCTCTCTGGCTCTACCAGAAAGTTCTCGAGCGGCCCAAAAGGTGCCCCAAACAAGCCAAGCAAAGCGGCAGTGCGTGCTGGAGGAAGCGGCCGGGGAGAGCAGGGCACCGCAAACGCAAACAACCCGAACCTGCGGCGGTGGATGCAAATTCGTCAACGGATTTCTTGGCCGAGGCTTTCCGATTGGATGAGGCCGAGGTGGGAAGCGCACCGGTGTTTGCGTTAGATCCCGATGAAGCACATGGTGCGGTGGCAAATGGTGGTGATGATGACGGTGACGCCATCGCCAACACACTCTCCACACCAACCACTGGCGCCCCGGGTACCCCTCCACAGGTGGCGGCAAGATTTGTCGACCACCCTGGAGCAGCGCGCGCAACAAGACAGGGCCCCCGCAGGCTTGAGAGAAGCCTTTGACTATGGGTACATTCACCCCAACCTGCCACCCCCTCCTGGGTTGGAGTGGAAACGCACGGCCTTCGAGACCATGCAGTTGGTCGCGCGGGGAGGATGAACTCCGAGGCCAAACGCGCAATGCGTCCATGTATATGTATACATATATGTGCACACAAACACAACTCTCGTACATGTGAATATAATGTATTGGCAACCAGCATAAGGTATACTTGCACGGATATTGGGAATTCTGATAATATAATATAATATAATATAATATAATATTATATAATATAATATAATATAATATAATATAATATAATCTAATATAATATAATATAATATAATATAATATAATATAATATAATATAATATAATATAATATAATATAATATAATATAATATAATATAATATATATATATATATATATATATGTATACATATACATATATGTATGTATACATTTGTGTGCTTTACGTCCCATATAAAGAGACCGATATAATCCGTGAGTGCACCGGAGATCCCCTAAACCCCAGCCCTTAAACCCTAAGCCCGAAGCCCTGAACCTTAAACCCTACAGAAGCCCCGCATGTTAAAGAAGCCGATAGCAGCTATGAGGACACGTGAGCACATCCTCCTGTCCAAGCAGGCTCCGACTCTTCAGCATATTTGGGGGTTTGGATTTAGGAACTTAGGGTTTATCTAGATCCCCAACTACCTTGACTGTAGTTCCCAATTACCTCTGAATGAGAACTATGAGAGCGCTCTAAAGGGTACTTGGGGGGTCCTGGTAGGGAGCTTGGGATTAAGGGCTACGTGCTTAGGGGCATAGGGCTTTGGGGTTTAAAGCTTGGTTTAGGCCTGGAGGTTTTATACCCGACAAAACTAGCCGGCGTAGACCCTAAACCCAGAACCCAAGTACCTTCGGACCCTGAAAACGCCGGGTTCAAGGACCCGAAAACTCTGTGCCCTCACAGGCCTTCTTGCAGCATTCCTTCACCCTACGGACCCTTTGGGTCCGTGAGCACCTTTATAAGCCTCTGTAATAACCCTAAGAGTCGAACCGAGCCCTAAAAAGGAACCCGGGTCTAAGAGTGCAGCACCCTGTAGTGACCCTGATAGCACCTTATAAAACCCGAAGCCTCAAATCCTATGAGTGTAAGAACCTTAAATCCCTAAACCCCCAAAGCCTAAGCCCCTAAACCCCCGAATCCGAAACCCCTAAACCCCAACTCCTAAACCCCTAAACCCAAAAGACCCTTAACCCTCAACCCCTGCAGTGAACCCAGGGTTCACAATTCTTCCGGAGGTCGGCGTGCCAGCCTTGGTCTGCTTTATGAACAAGGCCTCCCGGGGACGTCGAGTGTCTAACTGGTTCTAGGAAGGTTCTTCTGAGCACCTGGTAAGCAGGTAGCTATCAGTCTTTCTTTAAGGACTGACGGTTTAAGGTTTAGATTTTAAGGGCTTAGGGAAGGAGTAAGGTCTTGGGTTTCAGTGTTTGCGGTTCAGGCCTGTATAGTTTGGGGCTTAGAGGCTTGGGTTTTGGATTTTATAGGTTTAGGGTGCAAGCGTGGCTAGTCGAGTCTGGCTACTATTCGGAGGTTTGTGGAGTCAACTACTCGTACAGCAAAGGTTCCGAGCTCGGGGCTTAGCCTCCTGAGTCGACTTTGAGTGCCGTTCCCGAAACCGCCTAAACCCTTATAGAAACCTTCATGGCGACCTTGCAAGAAGCCGCTGTAAGATAATGTTTCCAATGTCCGTTGCGACCAGCATCTTAAGTATTCCATTGGCTGCTAACTCGTTCTGCTGTCTGCCTAGCCAAGCTGGTTCGCGAGTGCTGCTCCTCTGCTGCGAACGCAGTCGGGTAGAGTAGTGCTGCTACCCTTATCTAAGGAATAACCCCCAACGATGATTAACGGCGTTGATGCTGCTTAATTTGTGCCTTGAACGAACGTATTCGTCTTCTTATGTAAGGCGAGGCCCTCGCCCCGCAAGCATCGCTTGATTTGTATTCCAGATGCCCAAACTCGCCATCGGGAACGCATTAAACAACTAAGCTGGCAAACCGAAACCCCAAACCCCTTCAAAAAGGACATGTGAAATCCAAAGCCGTAAACTTAAATCCCTAAACCCAGACCTTAAACCCCGAGGCGTTAAATTAAGACCTCAGCAAACTCTACAGCCCAGACCCATAAGTCCTGAGCCCTAAACTAAAGCGTAGCAAAAAGTGAAAGAACCTTGATTGAAACGCTTCCACGGCACTGACAAGAATCCTTGTTAGAACCCTTAAGGAACCTCACTGAAAGATAACTCTATGTTTTGAAACCTAAACCTCTACTATACAGCCTAATTCGTGAACTCCAAAACCCTCAGCCCGGCTGCTGCACCGTGATGCTGGCCTGATTTAACAACAGACCTTGTAGAACTCGTATGAGAACCCTGGCTAGAATCGTGGAATAGGAACCCTTATCAGAACCCTTTGAAGAACCCGTTAAGCCTTGTTGAAAGTGGACCTGAAACCATCGTCTGCCTAAACCCCGAAGCCCTAAACGCGGTGACTAGAACGTAGTACCGAGAGCTTATTAGATGCCTTGCAAGAATCCTCGTTTAAGCCGTATAGGAACCCTTAAGAATCCGCCTCGCACCCCCGGACTGAGACCTTGAGGAACAGGTGGGCATGATGAGAATTGCCTTAACAAAAACACTTGTCCTAGCCCTCGTGAACCATGGAACGCTTAGAAACAGTGGTAGAGCACTGGATGATCGAATCCTTACCACTAGAACCCTTCCAGATTACTGAACCCTCATCTGGATCCTTAATAGACCCTTGGTACCCGAAACCCTAAACCCTACAGCAGCTTTTGATGCTAAAACTTCAACCCTAAACAGGAATCCGTATAGGCCCTACCAAGACTCCTAATCTAAGAACCCGCTGAACCCTTGTAACCCTATATAAACCCTAAACTCAGAAGGTGGATAAAAGCCCCCGACAAAATGCTGTAAAAATCCTAGCAACACCTGGAGCCCTTATAAGAACTATAAGAACTATAGAAGAAATTCCTCACAAAACTTCGAATGTTTACAGGAGCTGTAGCAAAATACAGAGCCCTTGTAAGAACTATGATAAAGTTATAGAACCCTTTAGGAAGTATAATACTCATATAAGCCCTAAACCTTAAATCCTAACCCTAAACCGTAAACCCTAAACCTTCCAGCTCAAATCTTCAACCCTAAGCCCTATTTATAAGAAAAGCTGCCCTTCTAAGAACCATGAGAGCTATAAGAAACCCTGAACCTTATATGATCCAAGAGGTGGATATGATGGACGACGAGGAGCTCCTGGAGTTGGTGGAGCTGGAGACCCGCGAGATGCCCCTTGGGCAAGCAGAGAGATCCTAGGGTTTTTAGGGTTCTTTTAAGGGTTCCTTTAAGGGTTCCTTTAACGATTCCTTTACAGGTTGATGGTTTTAGGGTTTCTTTTAAGGGTTCCTTTCAAGGTTTAGGGTTTAGGGTTTTAGAGTTCTTCTACGCGTTTAGGGTTTGGGGTTTTAGTGTTCCATTAAGGATTTTGAGTTTTAGGGTTCCTTTAGCAACTTTAGGGGTTCATTTAAGGGTTCGTTTCAAGAGTGTAGGGGTTTAGGCTTCGGGCTGTTTAGGGTTTAGGCTTAGGGTTTGAGGTTTGGAGCTGTAGGGTCTGAGGATTAGCTAACGGTTTGCGGTTCCGTGTTTTAGGGTTTGAGGTTTACGGCTTTGAAGACCTGCTCGTGATCATCGGGACAACAGAAACAGCCCAACAGCCCTGATGTGATGATTGAGTATATACTCCTGTCTCGTTCAGAACCTGGCCGGGGCCGTGCGGGAAAGTGCCACTGTGGTGACCTGGCACTTTACCCTAAACCCTAAACCCTAAACCCTAAACCCTAATTAGGTCGCTGCAAGCTGTGAGGAGACTCCAGGGTCCCCAGCCTCGTGAGTTCTTTTCTGGCGATGTGCCGGGACGACTTGAAGCAGCGGCGGTAATGTAGGGGCCTTAATAGTTAGAAAAGGGTTTGCGAGACAGTATACTATGATTGTACTAAGGAACCCCCCAAAACCCTATTCTGATTATTAAGGCCTCTACATCATCAGACGACGCTGGCTTTCCTTCGATTCGCTTCGGTCTCGTGGATCTGAGGCAGTCGCAGGAGGTCTAGAGTCTGCTGACTCGGTTCTGTGTGAATAGCGTAGGGGCCTTAAGTAATAAGAAGAAAATAATAAATTTCATGGGGTTTTGGTGGTTCCTTGCTTTAATTCATTGTTTTATATGCCCCCTAACCCTATCCTAATTATTTTGGCCCTGGTATTGCCAAGCAGATGGAGGAACAAGCTCTCACCACAGCCGTTCGTATCGCTCCAGGATCCCGAACAGTTGGCCGAGGCTGTGCAAGGGTTCTACAAGGTATTGTACTTGTTCTCGTGGATCTTATAAACTAGGACCCAGAGTAGGCCCTTATTCCCTTTTTTAAGGTTCAGGTTCCCTTATAAGCCCCTTTGAAACCAAAAAGGGCATCCTTTTTATGCCTGGGTTACTCTTGGGTCTAATAAAGCAATGTGGACTCCTTGATGAATAACCCATTATCATTGTCATAGAGCCCTTTGACCCCAATTAACGAGTTTCTACCTGAGGCTGGGCTAGGCGGCCTGTAAAAAACTGTATAATTACACCTCAAATTATAAACTATCTATAATCTAGATAGTTTATAATTTGAGGTGTAATTATTAAGAAGCACCATATTATGGTGCTTCTTACTGCCGACTGAAGGTCTATTGCTGGTTTGAGGGACATTGGGTTCTGAGACCTGCTTTTAGCACCGCCTTGGGAAAATCAAACATCCGAGAAGACCGCACCTCTAGGACCCGGAGTAAGCCCTTATTCCCCTTTTAAGGGTTCTGGTTCCCTTATTAAGGCCCTTTAAACCAAAAAGGGCACCCTTTTTATTCCTAGGTTACTCTTAGGTCTAGACCTTATAGGCAAGTGCCATAGCAACTAAAACAGTCGTCCCTGGAGTCCCTTCGTAACCCAGAGGGTCCATATCTAGGATGCCCAGTAGTACCCTTATTCCCTTTTTGTAGTCCTAGGTTCCTTATAAAGTTACCCAATACCAAAACGAGAGGCCTTTTTATTCTTAGGTTACTGGGTAGGTATCCTAGATATTGACTACCATTATGGAACTAGGTCCCAAAAGCTCATCCCCATTATGGTTTTTGGGACCTAATTCCATAAGAGTAGTGTATATGGGCCCTCTTGAGAATGTCAATGTCCAAGAGGAGACGAGGTCCTGAAAGACCATCCCCATTATGGTTGTTCGGGATCTAATTCCATAAGAGTAGTGTATATGGACCCTATTGAGAATGTCCAAGAGGAGACTAGGTCCCAAAAGACCATCCCCATATGGGATTTTTGGACCCATTTCCATAAGAGTAGTGTATATAGACCTCTTGAGACTGTCCACCAAAGTGTCAATCCCCTGTTCTGGTTACTGTGGCCCTTTGTATTTCTGTTACTGTTTGTTTGGCGACCCTACACCTCAAACTGGGTTCTTGTTAAGCAAAATAATCAAAATTGCCATAATAGGCATCTATAGTAAATACGGTTGATGATATACATCCTGAATTACCTTAAGGACCCTTTACCATGGCTAATGCAGGGTTTATACCATCAACCGTAGTATGGTTTCTTCGTTAGGGTAGCTTAAATTTTATCCCTTAACAGGAACCCAGTAACCGCTCGCTACACCCTACAGCCCTGCCCAGGTTGAGCCAGTACGGCTTCCCAGGAGATGACACGCCCTTCATCCAAGGACCGAGGTTGAACAGCGCAGTGTTCGACTGGCTTCCCCTAAGGCTCCATGTGCCCATATGGTAGTAGATACTTAGGCCTTAAACGCGTCCCTATATGGGTACTTTAAGGCCTAAGTACCTACTATATGGGTGCATAGAGCCTTTGGGTTCTTGTTAAAGGATTAATTTACGTTACCATAACATGGAAACCATATTATTTCTTTGAGATCCCTGTTATGGTAAACCGTGAATTAAATTCCTTCACGAAACGCAGTCTTTGAAGTTGGGTTTAGTTGATTGGGGCTATAAGGGTGCTTTCGGTTTCTCCTGACTAGGGATGAGGATGATGGGTCATTAGGATTTCGAAAGCCTCATTCCCTAGACTGTAAACCTACCAAGCCCGAACATACCTTTAAAACACTATATGACACATCCCCAAACTGAAGCAGCTTTAGCACAAAGAAACAGGCGCCGATGCCGTGCTGCGTCGAAGCATTCCACCGAAAATCCTGATTACTATAAACCCTGAACCCTAGAAACTCTGAGCCCTCAAAATCCCCTGAACCCTAAAAATCCGGAGCCCCAAACACCCTGAACCCTAAAACGCCTAAACCCTAGAAAGCCTTAACCTTAACAACAGTAAACCCCTAAAAATCCTGGACCCTAAAACCCCTCAACCCCAAAAACTCCTGAACCCTAAAAACCGCTGAACCCTGTAAAACCCTAGGACCCGGAGTAGGCCCTTATTCCCTTTTTTAGGGTTTAGGTTCCCTTGTAACCCCCTTTAAACCAAAAAGGGCACCCTGTTTATTCCTAGGTTACTCTTAGGTCCCTAAACCCCAAACCCCTATAGATCCCTTTAAAGGAACCCCTTATAGTACCCTTTAAAGGACCCCTAAACCCCCTAGGATCCGCTTTGCAAGCCCTCGAGCAGATGAAGAAGGACCCTGGCACGAAGAAGGGAGCCTCGGCTCGACGAGTTTCGGGTGTGGAGTTTTAGGGTTTAGGGTTTTGGGGTTTAGGGTTTTGGGGTTTAGGGTTTAGGGTTTAGGGTTTAGGGGTTTTGGGGTTTTAGGGTTTAGGGTTTTGGGGTTTAGGGTTTAGGGTTTTAGGGTTTAGGGTTTAGGGTTTTGGGGTTTAGGGGTTTAGGGTTTAGGGTTTAGGGTTTTGGGGTTTAGGGGTTCTAGGGTTTTGGGGTTTAGGGTTTTGGGGTTTTGGGGTTTAGGGGTTCTAGGGTTTTGGGGTTTAGGGTTTAGGGTTTTGGGGTTTAGGGTTTTGGGTTTTAGGGTTTAGGGTTTAGGGTTTAGGGGTTTAGGGTTTAGGGTTTAGGGGGGTTTAGGGTTTAGGGTTTAGGGTTTTAGGTTCTCCAAGGGTAAAAGGAGGGACCCTTAATAAGGACCCCTAGGTATATACACTTAATATAGCTATTATATACCCATTATATGGCCCATTATAGGGTAGGGGTCCCCATTAAGGGTCCCTCCTTTTCCGCCTTTGAGTTCAGGGGTTGAAGGTTATGCTTAAAGGGCCTTTTAGGGTTATGTTTAAAGTGGTTCTGACGGGCCTGCCCTGGGTTCCAAAATGTTTCAGGGTTTAGGGCCCTGCGTTTCGGGTTCAGGGTTCAGGGTTTGAGTTTGAAGCCTGTTATTCCAGCCGAGTTCCCCATCTACTATTCTCTAGGATCTGCATCAAAGTCCACAGTTGTCTGGGGTTCTATAGGTGCAACATATGTGTTCAAGGGTTCTGCTTAAGGCTTAAGGTTTTAGAGTTTGCATTGCCTGGCAGGATCCAGGTAATGTAGTGGCCTCAATAATTACCTACAAGATTTGTTGGGTCTCCTGATTATAAGTATAGTATAATTGGCTCACAACCCTATTCTAACTATTAAGGCCCCCTATAGTAGTCATTGTGTTTGCTTGTGCTTCCGGAGTCTGAGTTTCTATGATGATTGCGACTCTGCCGGCTTACTGTGGGGCTGGTTTACTCAGAAGCCCAACTGCTGGGGGTTTAGGGTTTAAGGTTTAGGGTTTAGGGTTTCGATATACTTACTTTCTGACTAACCTGTTTCCAAGTTGCCTTCCACCCTGTGGAAGAGAAAGTTTTGGTTCCCAGGTGACGACAAGTGGGTCGACAAGATCCTTGAGCTCATGGAGACCGTGGACGAGTACATCCCCACCCCGGAGCGCGAGACGGACAAGCCCTTCCTGCTGGCCGTCGAGGACGTGTTCTCCATCTCGGGCCGAGGCACTGTGTGCACGGGCCGCGTCGAGCAGGGCATCGTCAAGAAGGGCGATGAGGTCGAGATCCTGGGCCGCGGCAAGAAGCCCCAGAAGTCCGTCATCACCGGAATCCGCATGTTCAACACCGACCTCCCTGAGGGCCCGGCAGGCTACACGGTCGGCGTCCTGTGCCGTGGTATCGACAAGGATGCTGTGTTCCGTGGCCAGGTGATCTGCGCCCCAGGCGCCACCAAGACCCACACCAAGTTCAAGGCCAACATCTACTTCGCCAAGAAGGACGAGGGCGGCCGATCCAACCCGGTGATGCCCGGCTACATGCCCGTGTTCTACTTCCGAACCTGCGATGTGACGGGCAAGATCGAGGGCATGGTGAGCTCTGATGGCAACGAGGTGCAGATGGCCATGCCTGGTGACAACATCACCTGCACCTGCGAGCTGATCGCCGGCACGCCCATCGAGAAGGGCATGCGCTTCGCCATGCGAGAGGCCCGGGCGTAGCATCGTAAAGCGCAAGGCGCAACAGGAGAGTTGAGCCCTTGCCGCCCGTAGCCGGGGATTTCGGACATCCGGACACTGAACCCTCCACATATAATATATATACATATATGTGTATACATATATATATATACATGTATGTGTATATATATATATATATATATATATGTATATATCGTAACTACATACTTACTTAAGGGCCTAAGCATATTATATATACTTATATACTACAACGGGTATACATGAACCCTTCAGGCGAAGGCCCTTCGATGTTGAAACGCTTCACCCGCGAAGCCCCTAACAAGAAGCGTCGAGTTCTCCGTCCCACGGTTGATGATATAAATCTTAACTTCGGTCACAACAGGGCAAACGCTCGACCACGCCGGACCCCCCAAGTATTACCCCAAAATACCCACAATCAACGGCCATAAAGGATCTATTTAAGGGCCCTTGAAGGGTCCTGCGGTTCATAATACAAATCCTGCATTACCTTAAGGAGCCGAAATATGGGAATTGTGGTAAATTCCTTAAAATGGGTCATACAAGATTTATATCATCAACCGCACTACCCTCAGTCCCTCAGTCTCCATGTACCTATATGGGAGTTGCCGACAATTAGGGGGTACCTTATTTTGGGGGTAGGAACCCCTTTTAGGCCGTAGTATAAACCATATAGGTACATGGAGCCTCGGGGCAAGACGTAGTAGTATACTATCCTGTAGCAACGGTATGCGCGCTTATAGAAAAAGTTTTAATCCCATGAGCCCTAAACGGCATAAACCCTGAAACCGCCTGAAACCTACTTGGAGGTTCATGGGTAGTTCTAAATGGGATTATACGTCCCCTAACACGTCCCCTAACAGGGGCTACAACCATAGTTACCCTAATCATAAACCCACTTGTAACTACCCATGAACCTCCAAGTAGGCCCTAAACCCTATACCCTTATAGAATCCCTATAGATCCCTTTAAAGGGGCCCTTACAGGAACCCTAGGTAAAGCCACCTGTTTCGAAAGCTCTCTGTCGGCAGGGTGGGCGAACGATCGGCCAGGGGCTGATCGAAGAGACTATGTGAGCAGTGAGAAGGAGGAGCTCATTTGGGGTTAAGGGTTTAGGGTTAAGGGTTCTATACTAACTACGGCTGATGATATAAATCTTAGGGTCTTAGGGTTCCTTTAAAGGGATCTATAAGGCTACCTTTAAGGGGGTCTTTTAAGGGATCTACAGGGTTTTAGGGTTAATGATATATATATATATATATATATCCTGAGAAGGAGGAGCTAATAGGACGGTTGATGATATGAATCCTGCATTACCTTACGGACCCTCAACTATGGGAATTATGGTATATTCCTTATTATGGGTAATGCAGGATTTATATCATCAACCGGAGGAGCTAATTTAGGGTTTAGGGGTTTAGGGTTTACGCTTCTATTCTAACCACGGTTGATGATTCATAGTTATGTGTGCTCGATATTAAGGGTTTAGGGTTTAGGGTAAGGATCGGGTGAATTAGTCGGAGATAGTACGTAGGTTATACGGTTGATGATATAATTATATATATATATATATATATATATATCCTGCATTACCCATAGGAATATACCATAACTCCCAGAGTTTAGGGTCCTCAAGGTAATTCAGGATTCATATCATCAACGGCAGGATCAAGGTGTAGGGTTCCAAAAACGGTTTTGCAGAGGGTTTTGACAAGGCTTACAAGAGTTGATACGGGTTTGTCGAGTTTTGGGCTTCATCGAGTTTGATTGCAACAGAGAAATTTACAAACATGTCATAACATGATACATCAGCCAACCGACAAGGCTAGAGTTAGGTACGTAGACTTAGACAGATGCAGATACAACAAACTTACGAAGAGGATCGGATGGAGGATGGAAGACTCTTGGCCTCAAAAGAAATTCCCGAAGAAGAATTGCCTATATATATGAGTTGTCGCTGTTTCTTGTTATATCTATAGTTCGAAAACTTCGAAACCCCTTATTATTATATATGAAGGCCCCCCTGTTAGGGCATCGTCGTTTGCGATGCTTTCCGAAACCCGAACCCCCAAACCAATGCCAAGCCCTGATCGCACAAGACTCACGCTTTCTCCCTGAGCTCTGAAATCCCTAGGATGCCCAGTAGTACCCTTATTCCCTTTTGTAGTCCTAGGTTCCTTATAAAGTTACACAATACCAAAAAGAGAGGCCTTTTTATTCTTAGGTTACTGGTTATCCTAGATCCGCGTTATTATGGCCCCTAGAAGTAGATGGAGCCTGAGCTTCGAGTCCTGAACTGCGGGTCTTTATGGGGTTGAAGGCTTCGGGTAGCTATGCTAGGGATCCAAAACTTTATTTGGTAAAGTACTGATCGAAACTTGCATGTGCGGCTTAGATTGGGTTTCGGTTTTGGAGTCTAGGTTTCCATGGTGCCAGGCTTCTGGATTTAGGAACTGGGGTCTGTTCTAACGCGTGCTGGCTTTTAAGAGTCGGAAGGTTGAAGTCTTCATGTTCGGTGTTGTAAGTCACCAACCTTAAACTACTCCAACTTGTTCTCTTGTGGACATGCTAGGCAGTTGTTACAAGTTGCATGGAGCTTGTGGTCGGGCAAGGTACCCTAAGGTCCTTTTTGTGGTTCATATTTAGAATCCTATAAGGTAATCCCCAAAAAGGAACGACTTTGGAGCCTATGGGTAATTAGTAGCACCAACCTTTGTTTCGGTGTTTCAGGTTCAGAGTGGGTCATCAGAGCCGGCTTTCGCCGGGATTTTCTTGCCCTTGGGCCACCGGCGCCCTGTGGCGCGCAGCTTCAGAAGCTGGATCAGGCATAGAGCATTGGAGGGTTGAGCAGATGTCTAAAACTCGACGTGCAGATGTTACCTCCGACTCCGGTGACTGGCACTTCCTGCGTGCCATGAATGTTATAGGCGCGGTGGGGTGACATTCCTATATTAGGGACCCAAAAAGCACATAAGCATAAGCATTTTATAGGGATATCCCTACCTTATTGGTCTTCATTATAAGGTGGTTTATATGGGATATCCCTATCCCAATTTTTGCTTATGTGCTTTTTTGGGGCCCTACTATAGTCGCAGGCGTTTTCGTAGTCGTCGTCATCATGGTGTTGCTGGTGGTAGTAGCAGTGGCGGTTGTAGTAGCAATACAGTAAACTCTAAGACTATAAAAACCCTAAACCCTGAAAACCCTAAAAACTCAAAACCCTAAAAGCCCTAACCCTAAAACCCCTAAACCCTACAGTAAACTCCATAAAGTTGGAAACCGGATTAAGGCCAAATAGTGCTGGGATTTCCTATACATTACGCTTAAGGATTGAGGCTATGGGGTTTCCAACTTTCGGGCTTCTACTGTAGTACAGGAGGTTGAGTCGGTAGGAGCAGTAGGAGTCGCAATAGGAGCAGTAGTTGCTGTATAACGGGGTGGAGCAGACTTTAGTTTAGTTCAGGTTAGCTGAAGACTTGTCGAACGAAGGCCGCATGTCAGACACATGATTCAGCTGCGGGATTGAACAATGCCTCACTTCACAGCATGTGGAGCTGCGCAGCAGGGTCGTGCTTCTCCATCGCATTTTACCTCCAAATGGTGAAAGGTGAAGCCTGCTCTTTGCAACAGAAGATCCGCCACCTAAACCCTAAAACCTAAACCCTAAACCCTAAACCTCACAAGCAACGAGCATCAGGGTTTAGATTAATTGTCGAAGCTACTCGGAACGGTCGGTGGAAATCAATTCTGGTGGCTACTTCCTGCTGCAAGTCCCCTTTCAATTGGACGACTATACTTTTCAGACCACTGATACTTCGTGCTACGGCACCCTATACGCATGGTGACGCAAAAAGGCTCGAAGGCTTTACGGTCACGAGGCCGGAAAGAGCCAGACCCTAAAGCCTTTAAAGTCGAAAGCCCTAAACTCTAAACCCTAAACCCTAAAGCCTTTCAAATCGAAAGCCCTAAACCCTAAACCCTAAAGCCTTTAAAATCGAAAGCCCTAACTCTAGACTCTAGATCCGAATAACCCGAAACCGTTAACCCTCCTAAACCCCACAAGAGACTTAATGGCCTATATACCTTCAAGCCCTAAAGCTAAATCCTGCAAGCCCTAGCCCCAGACCCTTCAACCGAACATCCCTGAAGTCTGTGAGGTTCGACTCTAAAAGCCCTAAAACACTGCAAGCTCCAAACCCCTCTTAAGCCTTAAAGTAAAGCCTTCAACCCGAAACCCGAAAAAGGCACCTAAAAACCCATGGCGCTTGAAGCCCTGAACCTTAAACTCTCAACCCTTCAACCCTGCCTATAGTCTCCACCGTAGTTCCTTTATTTGGTTAACCAATTTTATGGTTAGGATCCTATAATAGAGATTTTGGTTAACCAAAAAAAGGAACTACCATGGAGACTCTCGGTAAACCCTAAAGCCTGGGCCCCAACATTCCCCACGACGCCGCGGGCTCGAGAGAGACCTGTCGCCCAGTGCCCTGTGCAGTCAGCCGCCGACCGCTCCTTGTCTCGTGATATTTTCTGGAGTTTTACCCCAGGGCTCTAAGGACTCCTATTCTAAGGCTTTTGGGCTCAAAGACCATACAAGAGAAGGCTGTTGAGCCATGTTGAGCCTTAGGGATACGGTTGCTGGATTTAAGGGTGTAAGAGCTTGGGTTTCGCACTTCAGGGAGGCGATTCCTTCCTAAGTAGGTATTAGGGATGTCGACATTTGGAGATGTTTGAGGTTCAATCTGTGATTCCGAGAAAGCAGTGTAGGCGCCTTGAATCAATCTAGGCTTTGGGAGTATATAGGGTACCTTGACTGAAGAACCTTAAGGAGTAATTCGTATTTTGGCCTATTCAGGCTCCTTTCGTCACATGCTTGATGCCTGTGTCGAGACAGTCATTGGTGAATTGGTGCTCTCACTGTCAGCCAGTGGTGAGGGCCTGCGACTTTGTGCCCAGTTGTATCCTTGTGCCTGTGTTAGAGTCAGCAAGCTGCATACAACCTTACTTGCTCACTCTGCCCACCCCGAATTTGCAACCGAAGCCCCAGCATAATGTAGGGATTCAACCTAACTCAAAGAACAAGCAGCATATTGCTGTTAATATCGGGGCCTAAAGAATTACCTATATTATTTTGGGGGTTCCTTATGATCTACTGTAGAATATACCCCAGAGCCTTATTCTGATGATTTAGGCCCCTATGCTAGTTGAAATGGAAGACGTCGGAGCTCGGGACAAAATCCTGCAGACCCTAACCCAGCGCCCTAAACCCCTAAACCCTAAACCCCAAGCCCCTAAACCCCAAACCCTCAACCCCCAAGCCCTAAACCCCTAAACCCCCAAGCCCTAAACCCTAAACCCCTAAACCCCCAAGCCCTAAACCCCTAAACCCCTGAACCCTGAACCCTAACCCTATAAACCCTATACCTCAATCCAGGCAAGCCGATCGCCGAAGCATCATGGCCCGCTGCAGCCCCAGATTCAAAGGGGCCCGAAGGGTGGGAGGAAAGTAGGTGGTGGTTTCAAGGCGGGATTACGGAGAACTCAGATAATGCTAGGTTACTAGGTTTTGGGAGGCTGAGAATACAAGAAGCTCTGCTCGCTCGCTCGCTGGCTCTCTCTCTCTCTCTCTCTCTCTCTCTCTCTCTCTCGCTCTCTCTCTCTCTCTCTCTCTCTCTCTCTCTCTCTCTCTCTCTCTCTCTCTCTCTCTCTCTCTCTCTCTCTCTCTCTCTCTCTCTCTCTCTCTCTGTCTGTCTCTTTTTGTCTCTCTCTCTCTCTCTCTCTCTCTCTCTTTTGTCTATCTTTCTCCACCTACATGCATACAGGGATCCTTCATCCTGCCTACCTTCATCCCACCTTCTGAGGCCTCCAGCAGATGCGCCTTCCGTGCTCTAGGTCTGCTTAGCTTCCGGGGAAGTCCGACAGCTCTCGCAACCTACTTGGAGGTTCATGGGTAGTGTTTTAGGGTTCCATTAAGGGCCCCTTTAAAGGGATCTATAGGGATTCTAGAAGGGTATAGGGTTTAGGGTCTAGTTGGAGGTTCATGGGTAGTTATAAATGGGGTTATGAGTCCCCTAATAGGGGTTGTAACCATAGTTACCGTAATTATAACCCCGCTTATAACTGCCCATGAACCTCCAAGTAAACCTTTAACCTCCGACGCCCGAACACCGTAAAGCCATAAACACCCTAAGCCAAAGTTACTAACGAGGTATCGAAGTGTGAGTCGTAGATCCCGGAAGTTTAAGCGAAGCTTTGTTGGCGCGCAGGGTGCGAAGTTTAGGAACCTACACCTCGCAAATTATCGGAAGCCACCTTAATTTGTCAGCCGTACCCCAGACAGGAATCAGCCTGCTTCTGCAACACCTCAGTTGTTTAACATCGGATTGTCAGTGCCTCGACTCACCCCCAAACCTTCAAACCCCAAAACCCTAGACCCGCAACCCCTAAACCCTAAACCCTGAACTCGAAAACCCGCAACCCCTAAACCCTAAAATTTGAACTCGAAAACCTGCAACCCCTAAGGACCCACCGCAATGGTCCTTGGTGGCGCTGCCGCTTCTGCCGCCGTGGCTCGGGGCTTGAAGGGCGGTCAGGGCTGCGGAGTTAGGGCTCTAGAGGTTTAGGGGGTATGGGGGCCTACTGATTGGCATAGGGTTCGTTTACTCCGAAAAGAGGTTTATAAAGAGATAGGACGAATAGAAGGATATGGGTGATCATATGGGTTTGACCCTGTAACATCCGTAAAGGAACCCCTTCAAGGATCCCTTACAGGAACCCTGTAAAGGAACCACGTAAAGGCACCCTTAAAGGAACCTGTTTCACCCTAAGGTAAATACTTAGGCCTTAAAGTACCCATATAGGGACCCCTTCAAGGCCTAAGTATCTACTATAAAGGTACATGGAGCCTTTGGGTAAGGCACCCTGAAAGGAACCCTCTCAAGGCATCTTTAAAGGAACCCTTCAAGGGAAGCTCCTAAAGTCACCTCTTAACGGCACCCTTGAAGGAACTCCTCAAAGGAACCCATTTGGGAGTTTCCGAAAAGTAGGGGTACCTTGTTTTGGGGTCCTTATAAACCCTACTATTTTAGGGTACTATATTAGGGTCCCATAGTTTTGGAAACTCCCATTTAAGGCACCTTCACAGGAACCCATGATCCAAGGGTAAAAGGAGGGACCCTTAATGGGGACCCCTAGGTATATGCCCTTAAAATAGCTATTATATACCCATTATATAGCCCAATATAGGGTAGGGGTCCCCATTAAGGGTCCCTCCTTTTCCTTCCACATGAGGTCGGCCTTGCGTCTCAGAGCTTCGCCGTGGCTGGCTCTGGAACTCCCGTGCAGGAGCGTTTTGGGCTTTCGGGTGTAGGGGTTTGAGGGTTTAAGGCTTTAGGGCTTCGCCCCTAAACCCTAAACCCTAAACCCTAAACCCTAAACCCTAAACTAAGCCGGGGTTTGGGGCTTTAGGAGTTTTGATTTTGGGGTTCAGGGATTTAGGGTTAGGGTTTAGGGGCTCTGGGCCTGGAGGGCGAGAGGCTTCAAAGTTCAGAAGCTATGACTGGTCTCGTAAATCATCGTGGGAACTCTGGCAAGATACTATAAGGTAGATTCCTACATGAAGGGGCTAAGTTATCATGGCCACTCTGACATGATATTTTGGGTCTATACCTGAATTAAGAGGTTTGGAAGTTTTTAGGGAATGTAGGGGTCTGGGATGGCGCGGTTGTTCGTACAGGGGTGTTATAAGTGTTGTTTTCTCGGGCGGTAGTGCTACAGGGTTTGGTCTGGGCGTTAGCGGGTTTAATGTGGGGACGTTGGCAAGTGTTAGAAAAAGGTTTCGGGGTAGAGTATGGCAGTAGTTTAGGTACCTTTTGTATACGGAGTACAAAAAGTATAAAGTATTGTTGCTACTGTCCATTGGTTTCAGACTGCGAAGTAACTTTCACATTTGTTCGACAGCTAAACTCCCTGTTGGAGCTTTGAAAAACTCACAGAACCTTAGAGCCTGCAAAATAAAGTGCCCCTTTAGAGACCTGGGAGAATCTTTATCCCAACGCGCGCAACCTGGAGACTCCATTTCGAGATTCAGCCTCTAAGGCTCCATGTACCCATATAGTATATACTTAGGCCTTAAAGTACCTATATAGGGACCCCTTTAAGGCCTAAGTATCTACCATGAAGCTAAATGGAGCGTTTTGGAACAGCGATCCTTCCCAAATACCCCCTTCGCTCCCTGCAAACGAAGATAAAATCTTGAGCAGTCACACCCAGTACTACAAGCTATAAGGCCTTGGTTAACGCACCTTAAGAGGTCCCGAAGCACCTTCTAAACAGAAGCACAACCAAGCCCTAAACCCCCTAAGCCTTAAACCCTAAACCCCCTAAGCCCTAAACCCTAAACCCCCCAAGCCCTAACCCCTAAACCACCTAAGCCCTAAACCCTATAAACCCCCTAAGCCCTAAACCCCCGAAGCCGCCCTAAGCCCTAACTCCTCAACCCGCGGAGGAGCAGGTCCGCCCCACTTCGCTTCGAGGCAAAGTTTCCGAGGCGGCTGGGACTGTCTTCACTCGTCTGGGAGACCCTCATAGGGCCTCAAACAGCACATAAGCAAGAATAAGGATAGGGATATCCCGTATAAACCCCCTTATAATGAAGCCCAATAAGGTAGGGAGATCCCTATAACATGCTTATGCTTATGTGCTTTTTGTGATCATCATAGGGCTTGTGGGGTCGATGCGGTTTTTTAAGATAGAGACCTAAATACTTGGGAGTGCTATTCTTCAGTTAGATGATACCTAGGTAAGGTGTGCCTCTACGAAACCCATCACTCTACGAATGGTGCCAGAGCTAAGAAAATGTGCGTCTTTCCAATAAATCTTTTTTTCGGTGTTGGGTTTATAGCACTCGTACCCTGATTTGCACTGACTTGCTACCGTCGATCACTGCCGCGACAACTGCGACATGAACCACCGTCACAAAAAAAGGAGTGTAAGGAGAGCGATAGAGAAGGCAGGGCCACACGAGCAACCATTCGCTTCTTGCTCGAATGCAGAGTCAGCAGTCTCATGATCTGGCATACGCTGGGTGGAGAGCGCTAAGTGGTTCAGTGAAGTTTCGGCTCACACCCTTAGACTCCGCAGGCCACGAGGCCAAGAGACAACAGCCATGGCCGACAGCTCGATGAACAGCGAGGCGATCTTCAACAATACACAAGCTTTGGAGGAAGCGATTGACGGTAACTCGAAGTTGTCGGCTCAGGACAGGGAGGCAATGAAGGGGAATGTGCGGAAGATGAGGGAGGGGTGTCTGGCAGTGGTTCAACTGGCGCAAGACTTCGCCAGCGACAAATGGCAGAACAGTTCGGCCCCGACCCTTGTTCAGAAGGTGAAAGAGTTCTTTGGCCGAGTCTGGGGGTGGATCAAGGACACCTGCAACAAGATCAAAGACGCCATCACAAATGCCGTTGTGAAGGTCAAAGACGCCCTGAAATACCTCTTTCAGCGCTTCAGCGAAGCATTTGAGAACATCACCATGGACTTGACCTTCTATTTTGCACCACCCGGTGTCACTGTCAGCTTCGGCAGTAAAGCAGGAGCGCCAGCCCCTTACTGAGGACTAGTATTTGAGCGGAGCAATTCAATGTGCACATGCCAAGGATGGCTAAGGCGAGGCACGCCCAAAATTGGCCAGAGTCGATTCTGTGTGAATGAGTGCGTGTGTGTGTTTGTGTTTCAGTTCTGTGTGTTCGGCAACACAGGCACAAGACCCTGTTCCGCTCCGCTCGGACTATTCAGTATGATATGAAAAGGATCTTCAACAAGCTGGTTGATTCAACTTCTGTTGACATGCTTTTCCAGTTCGGCCCTCTCTAAGCCCTAAGCCTTAACCACGCTTTACAAGCAGAAGGAGGCGCGTAAGCGTCAACAGCGGGCAGCATGAGATGGGCGAGGGGGCCCCCAACTTCTTCAGGATTCCCTATACCTGGACCCCCAAAATAGGTAGAATAAAAGGATTTTAAAGGTTTTGGGCCATTATTTTGCCTACTTTGGGGGGTCTAGGTAAAAATGAATTCGATAGAATACGCCCCCGCTCGAAACCTGTTCTAAGTGTTGAGGCTCCTACCGCGGATCGTGGAACCCTATGCTGACCGAACCCTGGGTCAGCCTAAAGTAGACCTCTGATTATTGAACCCTACATTGCTATCCCCAATCTTCAACCGTCAGCACTACAACAATAGACAACTTGAAAGGTTACAAACAGGTTTGGACTTTGGTAGTTCAAAGGCAAGCGAAAGCCCTAGAAACCTAGTTTCTTGATCCTGAGAGGCTCCGTCCTCCTCCAATTTGCCCCTTGGTGCGCTGGCACTGGCAACTGCTGGGGCCGAGAGCTCGGATCTGGCCCGGGTCGGGGGACTTAGTAAGTAGGTAGTAAGTAGACTCATAAGCACCCTAAAACGGAGCCTAATTGGGGTTGTGGTACTTATAAGTCCCTAAAATAACCAGTTACTAAGTCCCCTAAACCCTAAACCCTTACAGAATCCTTATAGATCCCTTTAAAGGACCCCTTTAAAGGAACCCCTTATGTTACTAAGTCCCCCCGACCCTCCCAGTAGGGTTGCGAGAGGTCCTTTGAGGTTGTTGTGTAGGGTTCCCATTTTGCAGGGTTTTGGGGTTTAGAGAAATTGAGGGTTTTGGGGGGTTCAGGGCTTTCAGGGTGTAGGGTTCTCGGGTTTAGGGCCGAGGTTTCAGGGTTCAGGGTGTAGGACTTGGGGGATTTTAGGGCTTCAGGTTTGGGTTTGCGTTTTGAGCTTTCGGGGTGTTGGCGGGTTCTTGGTTTCTTTTTTTGCTCGGGTGTGCTTGGGAGTCGGTACTTTTGGGACCCTAAGAATCGGAACCTCGAGACCCGCAATTTCGCAGATCCCCCTTACGGCTCTTGGATGGAGTACCCAGAGACTCCAATATCCCTTAATTAAGGAATATACCTTAAACTATAGTAGGATCTCTAATATGATTTAAGGAATATTCCTTGATTACGGGATATTGGAGTCTCTGGGTAACCATCGTGCTGTCCACCAGCCTCCAATTTAGTTGGGAAGGCTTGGGTTTCAGGGCTTCGAGTTTAGGGCTTAGGGTTTAGGGGTTCAGGGCTTAGGGGTTTAGGGGTTAGGGCTTAGGGGTTTAGAGCTCAGGGTTAAGGCGTTTAGGGATTAGGGTTTAGGGGGTTAGGGCTTAATTAGGGGTTTAGAGCTCAGGGTTTAGGGGTTTAGGTAGGGGTAGGGTTTAGGGTTTGGGATTCGGGATTCCTACTTGGTTCAGTTGAGGGTTTACGTTGAAGGGCCCTTCCACAGGAAACATTTCCCTTAGTCTTCAAAAACTAAAACTGTCTTCGAGACCCAGCACAACGTCGGCTCGATGGTCGAATGCATTAAAACATACAGCCGGGGCTTCTTGAGTGCGTGTCGGGCTCCTTACGGATTATCGGATAAATCTACAGTTGGCTTGCATGTTTGGGATAATATACTTAGGCCCGAAAGTATACAGAAACCGTCAGAAACCCTTCAAGGCCTAAGTAAATTTGGATACATGGAGCCTTAGTTACGGTTGATGATTTAAATCTTGCATTACCCATAATAAAGAATATACCATAATTCCCATAGTTTAGAGTCGTTAAGGTAATGCAGGATTTATATCATCAACCGTAGGGAGCACCAAGAGCACCACTTCAGCTCAAGGCGGTTGGCTTCCAGGGTGCTCGTCGCAGCCTCAGTTGTTTGGCTTAGGCTTCCGGCTTTAGAGTTTAGGGTTTTGCCAGAGCCACCGTCGGCCCTTCAAAGGAAGCACTCAGAACCCTTTCTGAACGGTTTATGCGTTAGGTCTTCGAGTTGAGGGGTTGAGGTTTACGGCTTCAGGCGGCTCGTGGGCTTTTCGGCCCGAGAGCACCCACATGCAGAAACCATGCGCTTGCGTGCCTAGTGGTTGCAAAGTTGACATGGCAGCTTCAGCCCGGCAGACCCAACCCCAATCCGAAAGGGGCAATGCCCAGCTTATCCTTACAAAAGAACACAACAATGCTTGCTGTCACAAGGGCAGTAAAATAGGTGTGGCAAGAATTACCTATTCTCCACCTTAGGATTCCGTAGTGTAAGTTTACTAAGTATATATTCATGAACATGAACCCCAAAGCCAAAATCTTGCATGCCCCTACATGGCAGGTGCTGCCATTTGTTTTTGGTTTGGGCTGTCGGCCCAAACCCTAAAACCACATAAGCCCTAGTCTACTGATTAACGCCCCGATATTGGCCCCAATCCCCGAGTCGGAAGGAAGCCGCAATGGAAGCCTCGAGGGTCTGTAACATTCTTGAAATATCCAGGCTCTCATTCTAATAATTCAGGAGCCCAAAGTCTATAATTGCCCCTATCGAGGCCGGCATGGAACCTGTATGGCCTCCTTACAAGCCACTCTGAATGGAACTTGCAGAAGAGCCTTAAAAAGACCCCTCAGACCTTTCCCAAGGTCGTTCGAAGAAGGCTGCTCGAGCACAGGCTATCGTCCGCCATGCTAAGGACCGCCTCAGGGTCAAGGCTCAAGCTCTGGCTGTTTGCGTGAACTAAACCCTAAATCCTAAACCCAAAACCCTTGTTGTGGTTGGGGTTGCTGTTGTTGTTGTGATCGTGGTTTTGGCTAAGCTGGTTTCTGGTTGTGTCTTTTGTTTTTTGTCAGTTCTGCCTGTGTCATAGCACTACTGCACTTGCACTTGCCTCGGAAGGGTCGCGACTTCAGACACGAGCACGGGAGCACTTTCAAAGCCTTTGACTTACCTTTGGTTTGGAGGGAATGGGAGAATGGTGGTAATAGTAGTTTTACTTGTACCCCATTCCTCCATTCCCTACTAACCAAAGGTAAGTTGAGCCGTCTAGTCCCTGAAGCCTGCCAGAAGTCCCCCCTGCAGCACCTTTGTTGGAAACCTTGTTTCTTTTAATGCCGGTATCCTACCCGCAACAATGGCTTACCATAGCAGGGAACTAGAGTGGAGACCGGGCACGAACCATCAAGTCCCAAACTTAGAGTCTGGATTAATGTGCTTGGGGCTTGGGGAACCTAGGACCATGATATGATTTGAGCGCCCTAGTCCTTTTTTTGAGCCTTGCATCCCATACATCCTAAAACCAAAAACCCTAAATCCTAAACCCTAAACCCTTCATCCTAAACCCCGAACCCTAATATCCTAAACCCTAGTAGGACTCTACATAAACCCTGAACCCTAAACCCTACAGGGAACTCCAGAAAGTTGGAATATGGTTTCATGGTAGGATACCCTATAATTTACCATTTAAGGGTTAGGATAATCCTATTCCAACTTTCTGGCTTTTACCTAAGCCCTAATATAGTAGTAGCCAGAAAGTTGGAACATCACTATCCTCATGCCCTTAAGGTAAAGTAAAAGGGATCCTAGCACTAATCCTCTTTACTAAAGCCATGTTCCAACTTTCTGCCTTCTACTGTAGGACCACATCAACATCGGCACCATCGGCCACGTCGACCATGGCAAGACCACCCTCTCTGCGGCCATCTCCCTCGTCTGCGGCCAGCCGAAGCCCTGGGTGTGCTAGGATTTTAGGAAGTTTTGGGGTTCAGCCGATTTAGGGGATTTTAGGGGATTTTAGGGGATTTTAGGGGGTTTAGGGGATTTTAGGGGGTTTTAGGGGATTTTAGGGGGTTTTAGGGGGTTTTAAGGGGTTTAGGGGTTTACGGGTTTAGGGCTTCGGCTAGGGATTTCGGGGGGTTTAGGGGTTTAGGGCTTCGGGTAGGGCTTTTGGAAGGACCAGAAGAGGCCTGAAATAACACCAAGCTGTGCTTCTTGTGGAGCTTGTGGAGCTGAGGCTCAAGGAGGGTAATATAGGGGCCTAAATAAGTACAAATACTATTTCTTGTTTTTATTTGGGGGGTCGCTATTATAGTTATAGTCTAATGGGCACCAACACCCTTTTTTTAAGGTCCCTATAGTATGGAAGTGTTCCTGTCCCATCTTTCGGACCGGCGTGCAGCATCATGTCATCGATCCCAGCACTCCAGCATTCTTCTTTGAACAGTGAAGTGCCAGTGCCGGTTTCGGGAATCATCCCCAACTAACTCAGGAGCCGAACAGACGCCGCCGCCCTCATCAAATTGAGACTGCCATCGTCGTCGTCGTAGTCACCTGAAATCACTCAGGACTTGTTTACCTCCTACATGTAAAACGTGCCACATTTCCTTGAAGCAAGTAAGCCGCTTTTGATTCTCCTCGGGGAATCCCCCAAGCATTCGGGCGCCTTCGCCGGCAAATCCCATTTGTGCAGCCTGGACGCCACACTCCGCTACCCTGAGCCCTAAGCGCCAAACCCGACATCTAGAGGCAGGAAACATTGTTCCTAGGGCTCCTTATCAATCATATTAGAAGTATACTTTCATGTACCCCCAAAACCTCGAGTCTAATCATCTATTCCCTATACTATGCCCTAAGCCCCTAAACCCCGAGCCCCAAACCCTTAAGCCCTAAACCCCCAAAGCCCAAACCCCTAAACCCCAAATCCTCACCCTAAACCCCCCAACCCTAAACCCCCAAGCTCCTAAAGCCCGAAACCCTAAACCCCAAACCCCGAAACGCCTAAACCCTAAAGCCCTAAAGCCATAAAGCCTTATGAGGTTCAGCACCTCCGACGACACGACCAAGAAGTCCTATGAGGTCTGCGACTAGCTGAACGGGCGCAGGGAGAGTCTCTCATGAAGCTACCCTCTATTAAGGGACTCAAAGAAGTCTATATAAGGGTTTCTTCTAGGATTCTACCGTCTATCTAGGGGGTTCTATTAACATGAGAATTTAAAATAGGACTTTATTCCAGGGTTCCATAAGGATTCGTCTATTTTGGGAACCTTGAAGGGCCTTAATACGGTTGATGATATAAATCCTGCATGACCCGTAAGAAGGAATATACCATAAATTCCCATAGTTTAGGGTCCTTAAGGTAATGCAGGATTGATATCATCAACCGTAGGGCCCCCATAGTGGGTATTTGGGGTATTTGGGGGGGTCTTGGTCTAGGGATTCTTTTCAGATGTTTGTAAGGGTTTCTTCTCGGGTTCTACATGGGTTCGTCTATTTGGGAAATCTATAACGGTTCTAAAGCAGTGTTATATGGGGTCTACAATAAGACTTCTGTAAGGATTCTTTATTTTGGACTCTACAAGTGGTCTTTCTCCCCATAGAACCCTAAATAGTTCGTCATCTTATTCCTTGGGTTCCTTACATCAAGACCGCTAAATTGCTTGAAGACTTTCAGCTTCTTCCACTCCCTAGGTATATACCCTTAATATAGCTATTATATACCCATTATACAGCCCATTATAGCCATTAAGGGTCCCTCCTTTTCCCCTTTGACAAGACGCCAGGAGATCGACAATGCTCCGGAGGAGCGTGCCCGCGGTATCACCATCAATGCCTCGCACATCGAGTATGAGACCGAGACCAGGCCAGGGTTGCGGTTTAGGGTTTAGGGGTTAGGGGTTTGGGGTTTAGGGGTTTAGGGTTTAGGGTTGGTTTAGGTTTTAGGGTATGAGACAGAGACCAGGCCAGAAAGTAGGATATACGGTAGTGTAGGAACCTGATTAAGAAGCCTTGGGCCTCTGTTAGGTTCTGTATATGAATAACCCTAAACCCTAAACTATTTTGTCTGGGTGCTGTTTGCAGCCGTGGACAAGCGCAAGAAGGCACGGGTTGCTGACAGAGCACCTCCGGATGGAGGACACCTTCGTGATGAAGATGAGCTCGAAAGCTTCCTAAAGCGGGCAAGGCGGGATCATGCATGGCCGCAGTCCTCTGTCCAGGCATGTCTAAAGTGGCTCAAACCTGTGCTTCCACGCCCGCCTGCCCTTCTGATTCATGACCATTGCCAGCTAAGCAAAGCTCGAAGTCACGCCGCCTGGGTGCAACAACTTTGAGGGCAAGGCAAATGGCCTGGCTCCTTCAACACGCAGTTCCATGGTGAAATTTCTTCAAAAGCACGTCAGGTGTCCAACACAGCTCGTGCACACATTGGAGATGGCCCTTGGGATAGTGAGGTAAGCCTTGCTGAGTGGTACAGAGCTGCTCGCAACATCCAGTCTTCTCGTGCTATCACTCCTTTTCTCATTAACAGGGTGGTGATCTCGTGTGATAAGGATGAATGGTGCAGGGCAGCATGGATGCTTCAGAAGCTCTGTGGTCCCAGCTTGCTGTGCTGGCGTCCTTGGCTATGGAGACATCGCTTCTTGACCGTTAAGTACAAAAAGGGTTCGGTAGCTCACGAGGCCTCTTTTCGTTTCCTGGCAGTTGCAGACATACATGGTATGCTCCAGGAAGAAATCCTGCTTACCAGGCTCGCTGGTGTCATTCACGCCTCACTCGATGACGTTCAAACAGGCTATCGTTTTGATGTTTTCCATCATCAACTGTCACTGTCCATTCTGCAGGATGACTACAAGCACTTTAACAGGACGTTCTTTGTTGTTTTTGCTGACTTTGTGCACGCATTTCCCCGCGCGTGGCGAGATCTGTTGCTAGTGGAGGCCCGGGATACTGCAGGTATCCGTGATGGCGCGCTGGCCCTTTTGGCAGCCATCATGAAAGAAGACGCTTGGCGAGTGGCTCTCAGCGGTGATTCGGTCTAAGCGAGGGTATCCCTGAAGGCAGCAAATATGGACCGCAATGCTTTTGTCTCCTCCCGAATACTCTAGTGAAGAAACTGCGTGATGAGAAGTGCGGCATTGCGACAAGTGGCTGGGTCCCGGATGCATGGACTACACATGTTTGGTCTGGCTCTGGGACACCTGATCAAGCTGCTGCTGAAAGTATTGCAGAGTGCATCAGACTCGGATACCCTATTCCTGGTGCCAGGTCGCTGAGCGAATGTCCTAACTGTGAAGCAACCTGCGCACGAGCTCTGGACCTGCTTGAGGTGGATAGGGTTCCTGTCCTCCTGCACGCTGACGACCCGGTTTTTGTGGCGTCCAGTCGCGGTGAGGCCGCGCGCACACTTCAGGTTATTGCCTCTTGGGCATTTGATGTGAAGGTTGAACTGCATTTGGGATCTTCCAAGACCGTGGTTCAAAAGCTTCATCCGCCTGGCTACTGCAGCCGTGCTGTTGCGAGGCCTCTGTTGTTCCCCAGGCAGCCCCCTCTGCTCCCTGCTGCTCTCGAAGAGGTCAAGGTTCATAAGTGACTCGGGTTGCGCTGGGCTGCAAGTGGTGAGTGGATGCCACACGTGGTGCCCCTAATTGCACAGTGCTCCTACATGGTTGACATTTTGTGCTCGCTCACCAAGTCCAAGAGGATACCTCTCGCTGTCGCTACTATCCTTTTTGAGCTCAAAATTGAAGCCTCATTGCGGTTTGGCCGATGGATCTGGGGTCTTGATGCTGAGGCACGCACGGCACTTACACAGTGTTACGAACGGTGGTCAAGACAATTGGTAGGTGCAGGAACCTGGAGAAACGCAGCTGTGTGTTTCAGTGAGATCGGATGGAATCTTGGAGCCCTTGCCAGGGTAACAGTAGATGTTGCTGCGGTGCGTGCTTCGCTGTGGCTACAGGGGGAAACCACGCTTGCAGGTAGGATGTTCCTTTCAGGACACAGGTCGGCAGCATCCAACTGGTGCAAGCGATCCTTAGAAAACCTCTCTTCTCAGGGCATTCTCGACTGGCCACTGTGGGCCCTCGCTGGGAAGCCTCAGGAATGTTACAAGCGCTACGTTCGTGAAATTCTGGTGCAAGCCGAACAGACAAGACTCGCAGCCGCCGTTTCAACGCACAAGTTTCCGATTGCGTACGGCGAACTGGTGTCTCCGCCATGCACTCTTGTGAAAGATGCTCTAGCAATGCGTGCTCCGTGGAAGACACTTCTAGGACATAGAGCACTCATCATGCTCAGGTGCGGATACGTGACTTTGGGTCATGTGGATGGGCGTCCGTCACAGGCCAAAGTTCAAGCTTGTGTGTTTTGTGCCAGAAACGGTACTCTAACGTAGTTTTTCATGCTGTTTGCTCCTGCCATTGCTTTGATGCGCTGCGGCAAGAATGTCTAGCTTTGGGAGCAGACTTTTCTGGCCTGCGCGTGCTGGCAACATCGATCAGCCACGACGCTCACCACAAAGTGGTACAGTTAGCTGAGGACATCTGTGTGCGAGCAGAGAACTTCTGGAGGTAGAAGATGTGAGAAATGCTTGCAGGTGACGTGCAGGGAGCCTTGCCCTAGTACTGCGGTGCAGGGAATGGCTGGCCTCACGTATAGGGCCCCTGCTAGACAGCATCTTCGCTTGTGCCCACAAGCTGTCCAACTGGACTGAGAACCAACCAACCAACCTACATTACGGTTCCAGCATCTTGAGTGGGCATAAACACGCCTTTCAGTCCGCAGTGTTGGAGCCTATGGCGCAGAATACCTGGGCTTCAATAAGTACCTATACCAGCTTGGGGGTTCCTTGGTACAACTATAGTAGAATGGTCCCCAAAACCCTATTCTAATTATGAAGGCCCCTATATTAGCCTCTACGTGCAGCTTGCGGGTTTCTGTCTCAAGAACACCGGAACGGTTGATGATATAAATCCTGCACTACCTTAATAACCCTAAACTATGGGAATTATGGTATATTCCTTATTATGGGTAATGCAGGATGTATATCATCAACCGAAGTACTGAGGAAGTCCGAATAGTTAGCAGTCTTGAGTATACCTATACTGTAATATCGATCAAAGCACTGTGCTAATTATTGACTTCCCGATAAACCCTAAACCCTGAACCCAAGGCAGATCCTTGACCTGCGGAAAAAGCCACTACACATTACCCTAAACCCTATAACCCTAAACTCTGAATCCAATGCCCCCCTCCGCCTTTGACACAGTGTTAATACTGTTGACGATATAGATCCTAGGCTTCTTCTCAAGGGATCTATAGGGGTACCTCTAAGCGGTTCCTTTAAGGGATCTATCGGATTTAGGGTTCAGGGTCGGTGACATAAATCGTGCATTACCGTAAGGATCCTAAACTATGGGAGTTATGGTATAGTCCTTATTATGGGTAATGCAGGATTTTTATCATCAGCCGTAATTAGTATAGAACCCTTAAGACTTAACAGTCATGACAATCTCGTTTATTTATGGTCCCTTTTTCTGATTTTAGTAGATTGGGCACCAAAATCCATATTATCGTTACTGAGGCACATTAGTTTGGTCCCGGCCCAGGTCATGAAGCCTTACTGCTTCACACAACCCTTAAACCGTATTCTCTCGACCGCAACGCCCTCCTGCAATGTCCCGATGAGATCCTAAACCCTGAACCCTGGGTCGGTAGACTAAGCCCTAAACTGCTGCCAGAACGGCATTGGCTGCTGCCTCTGCCGGGTGTGCCTTTCATTGATGATGCATTCGAACATGATCCAGCTACTTCCATACATGACAGCGTCATCTGGCTCTTTTGAATCTCTCCTCGCAGTTTCCAACAGCGGTGACTCCTCTCGGTCTTGCTGAAGTCATGGGGCTTTCCGACGAGCTTCACCAAGCAACACGGGTAAAAGAGATGACGGAGGGTAAAGTTGTGACTGGTATCGCAAACCTCCCCGAGAACGCAACAAGCAGCTGCTAGTACCAAATACCACCACTACTACCATTACTACTCCCGCTTATGATTCACAATTCCACCTACCATACTCTTTCCTTACTTGTGCTGCTGCTGCTGCTGTTGCTGCATCCAGGTCTCGAAAGGGCAAAGGGCCTTAAGAAACAGAGCAGGGGTTTTCGCATACTTATGCTGAGAAGCCCGCAACAACATTACGGCTAATCTCAGGCCCCAACAGTGTCGAATTGCCAGGCACTACTGCCACGTTGACTGCCCGGGCCACGCAGATTACGTCAAGAACATGATCACAGGATACTGTACCTCACTGGGATTCTTTTCCGGCTTTCTCTGAACGGTAGCAAAATGCCATGCCATGTTCCACAGATTCCAAACCCAGACCCCAAACCTTTGACCATACCCGGCCTCTATACTACAGTAAGGTAAAACCGTGGCCTGAAGCCATGAATCGTAACTATATCATAAGCGCAAAATGTAGCCCTCAAGTTGTCAAAGGAGGAACAATCCTCCTAGGTTTGGCTTCGGCTGCCTTCTGTCGGTGGTACGTATCTGATGACATGAAATGCACTTACAGGGACCATTCTTTCGAACAACCTCATGTAACTTGAAGGTGTTAGGCTACGGCCTCGGGTTTCAGTGTCCGTTTTCTTGTTGTGCAGGGGTGCGATCTATGTAAATCTCGCCCGCGTGACACCTATATCTCAAAATCCTAAAGACAACGGTGTAGGAGACTGGGAAAGAGATCTCTCCTTCACCGAAAACATCCTGCGCAACCCGTAAGCAAGCCCGAAATTGGCTCACATTTTGGGCTAGGGTTCATACGGATTTAGGGCTTGGGCTAGCTTTGGCAAGCCTGCATTGCAGAATCGCAACCAGGAGCTTGCCAGATGGACGGCGGCATCCTGGTCATCTCCTCTCCGGATGGCCCAATGGCCCAGACACTTGGGCAGAGATGTTGGATAAAATTTGGAGGCCTTTGGGCAAAAGGTTTGGAGGATTTGGGGGTATATATCACCAAAACTATATAGGGACTTGATGGCTTGATATGTTCGAGCATGGGCTTTGGTTGTTGTTTGGAATGCTGTCTGGGTTTGTGTTTGAACGTCGAAACATATGCCCACCTGCCAACCGGCTTCAAACACCGGACATCGCAAAATCAAGCTGTTGCGAAGATTTGGAGAATTGTCTTGCACACCTCGCAGAGCCGCGAACAAAGTGTTTACGGCCTTCCTACAACCAGTTGGTCTTGTCAAAGACAACCCTTAAACCCTGCCCTCAAACCCTAAACCCAACCTCTGCACACCCTGAAGCCTAAGCCCTAAGCCCCCAAACCCTGAGTCCTTAAACCCCAAATCCTAAACCAAGCCTAAATCAACCGGCTCTCTTTGCCACGGTGAGCCTCTCCAGCCCAGGACACGTGAGCACATCCTCCTTTCCAAGCAGGCCAGCTCGCTTTTTTGTTCCGTCTCGCTACTGATTTTGCTCTCGCTCCCATTCTGTGTCTCTCTCTCTCACTCTCTCTCTCTCTCTCTCTCTCTCCTCTCTGTTCTCTTCCTCCTCTCTTTCTCTGGCTCTCTCTGTCTTCCTCTCTCCATCCCCCCGTCCACAAGCAGGTTCATAAATTTCAGTTTGGTTATTGTGCTTTAAAAGTTCCGTGGTGATCCTAGCGCAGCTTGTTGTGGAATGGGCTGACTGCATGCATTCTAGCCACAAGTCTTTATGGGGAGGTGGTTTATACGTGGTACATCAGACGAATTCTACCCTTGGAGTTTTACCCCAGCTTGTAAATCCCGTCGTAGAACATTGATCATCTTTCGGTTGTAAAGAATCCTATAAGGTAATCCCAAAAAGGAACTACTATGGAGCCTATGGGTAAACCCTTTCAAGAAAGCGGCTGTTTCGGCAGGTTTCTGTTTTGACTGTGCCTTGAGGTGGGAGTTCCAGCCCTCGTCTGCTTCATGAACAAGGCCTTTGGGGGTTTGTGGTTGGGGTTCGAGGGCTTCGGGTGCTTGTGGGTTTAGGAGTTTGGGGTTCTGGGATTGAGGGGGTTTTACGTTTTCGGGTTCAGGGGTCAACTAGGTAACTCGGCAGTATAGACCTGAAGCTGTAGAGGCATGCTACACGGGAACGGTAATGATTCGGGTCTCGGACTCCAAACCCTCACCATGATTTAGGTATAGCCCCTTGTCACCTGTCAAGAGGTGTTCACCCTAAACCCTCAACCCTTAAGATTAGACGCAAAGCCTTGGGGTGAAAGGCGGGTACCATAAAGAAGGTCCCCAGAGAGCCCAATACTCCTTAATTAAGGAATATGGCTTGAATTATATAGGGCTTCATATTATGATTTAAGGTATTATTCCTTAAATAAGGGGTATTGGGCTCTCTGGGTCATGTCCAGGATGGAGCACCCAGAATCTTTGGGGTTTCGGTGTGGGGGGCGTAGGCTTCCCATGGGCGTCTCTAGACTGCGCCGAAGCCCAAAGCGCCTGAGCTTTACCTGTCGTTTTTACTGTTTAGGGGTTTAGGGTTTAGGGTTCAGGTAGAGTTTAGGGTTTAGGCATCTAAAAACTCTCTGCAAGGAACTGATGACAGGGAGTCCTGGGCTACAGAAAAATCAAACCCTGGACCTTCGAGCCTCTATTCACTTACAGGGAACTCCAGAAAGTTGGAATATGGTTTTAGGGTAGGATACCCTATAATTTACCATAGAAGGTTTAGGATAATCATATTCCAACTTTCTGGCTTCTACCTTAATGGGCGCTCGGTGCGCTGAACTCCCGACCAAAAAACAGGTGGGTGGTTTTCAGTTTTAGGGTCCCTTTTTGGGTCCTTACTATAGTACGGCACCTCATATTTAGGGTGCCCAAAAAGGGACCATAATTTTGACAACTACCCAGGTAAGACACAGTACATGCCGGATGCTTAGAACCCCTAGAAGAGCCCTTGAAACCTTTACTAAACCCTAAACCCGAAGCCTTGAACTTTAAACCTGAACAACAAGCCCTAAACCATAAACCTATAAACCTTGCAGCTCCAACCCTAAACCCTAAACCGTATAGATCCAACAGGTGGACTGTAGAACACTTATAAGAACCATAAGAGCTATAAGAAACCCTAAACCCTAAACCTGACAGCCCTAAACCTGAATCCAAGAGGTGGACCCCTTACACAATTGTAGAACCCTTATAAGAGCTATAAGAAACCCTAAACGCTAGACCTTAAAGATCCAAGAGGTGGACTGTAGAACCCTTATAAATAAGAACCATAAGAGCTATCAGAAACCCTAAACCCTGAACCCTCTAGATCCAAGAGGTGGACATGATGGACGACGAGGAGCTCCTCGAGTTGGTGGAGCTGGAGACGCGCGAGATGCTTGCAGACTGAACGTTTGGGGGTTTAGGTTTTAAGGTTTTGGGGTTAGGGTTTTAGGGGCTTGGGGTTTGGGGTTAGGGTTTAGGTGTTAAGTTTGAGTGGTTTGGGGTTAGGGGTTAGGGTTTAGGGGGTTTGGGTTTACAGGTTTAGGATTTAGGGGATTTGGGTTACAGGTTTAGGGTTTAGGGGTTTAGGGTGAAGGGTTTAAAGTTTAATGTTTAAGGTTTGGCGTAGGCTTTTCGCATCGTTTTGCGTGCACGGTTTTTGGAGGGTTTTGCGGGGTTTCGGGTTATGCTTAACCCTGGCCATCCGGGTATGCATTATTAGCATACTCGGCCAAGTGCTCAAATTTGACGCACTTGGCCAAGTGTGCTAAGTTTCAATACTTCTACGGGGCGACTTGTGGTTTCTACGAAAGCATGCTCTTGGAACACACATCATCTCTGATGCATGGCATTTTTGCAGGCTTTGCACTGTCCAACTATCGATAACTATGGATTGGAGCTTCTCACATAGCAACAATGTACCATTCTTGCATACATTCTAACGTAACACTACATATACAACAACACCAGGCACTGCAGCCCTTATATTATATTATTATATATACTAATAATAATATTATTATAATAACATTTAACAATATACTCAATGCTATATATACAATGCACATTTTCACGTGTATGTGTTATATACACGGTTATATATAAGAGCATTATTATGTAATAAAACGGAAAATACTAATATAGATACAATTATAATATATAATATCATGAACATGTGTGCCCCTTCCTGTGCTGCATGTCGACATGCGCCGTGTGCTGAACAAGTGGGGGACATGCCTGGACCTCGGCATGTGATATCGAGCTTGCTATTGCAATTCTCGTATTATGATTATTTACAATGTAACAACGTGTGCACGAGGTCAGAAGCGAGTTTCTGCATCGAAGACATCCAGCTCGAAGCCCTCTAGTGACCCTGCTTTTGCTGCAATGTTTTATTCTGGGGAGCTTGCATTGCAATTGCTTTGATTGCACTTGTGCATTGCAATTGAATTCTTGGCCATTGCAACTCTACACCATGCAAATCTAGTGCTCGAAGCATAGCAATCTTTGTTCGTGGGCCTTTGCGATCTCCTTTCTTCGAAGGCCAAGCAGTGTGATCAGTGAATTGCCCATAGCTGCATATGTATATACATATGTATATATATATATATATGGCCTATATATATATATATATATGCTGAACCAGGGCATGGCCGCTCAGCTGATGAAGTCCGCCGAAGAGCGTGAGGCCTTGGCTGAGTTGCAAGGGCAACTCTTGGAGGACATTCGATTCAACTTCGAATAACAAGTCTGATGACGACAAGCTGACGACGACATACAATTATTTTATTGTGCCGCAGTGCAGGCTGTGCTTGCGGTAATATAATAATAGTATTGAATAATTATTATATTGTGCCGCAGTGCAGGCTGTGCTTGCGGCAATAATAATAATGAAATAATATATTGTGCCGCAGTGCAGGCTGTGCTTGCGGCAATGAGATATATTCAGCTGACTGCCATGCTTGTGATTTGCAAGTGCTCGTAATTTTGTGTCGCCGCGCGGAAGAATCCGCAAGCGGCCGCTGCAGGATCTTGTCAACAGCTGGCTGCTCTCTCGAGCGGATCGGCTGCCGAACATTCGCAAAGACGAGGCCATCATCATGCATATGGTTTGTAAATATAATGCGCCATATGATTGTATATCACTGTCAGGCAGGGAACGTGTTTGAGATGGTGCCGCCAAGCCCGGACAGCCAAGAGCAGGTGTGTGTCTCAGGTGTTCAGCTACTGTTCCTTTCATCGTTCATATATAATATAATAATTGTTGTCAGGTCGAGGCCAACTTTGACTTCTTGGCCTCCTTCTATGCAACCTTTTCGGCCGTGGGGATTCCCAAGTTCTCTGTTTTCAAGGTGCAGCCTGAGCTTCTGATTGCCAATAACATCTGTTGTTAATAATGAGCTGTGCCAGGCAGTACTGCTCCTCCTCAGCAAACGGTACCACCTGCGTGAGGGAACTATGAAGACTCAGAAGGCCTGTATACATATATGTCTTGCATGGTGCGAAACCTTTTCTTAACAGTTCCTATAACTCGATGCTTGGTAGGCCTGGGCCGGGTATCAAGCCGGTGTGATGCGAAGCACGTGTACCCATGGTTTCAAGCTGGCCATGCGGACAAAAGCAGCGAGGATACGGGGTTGAGCCAAAACCTTTCCATGATTCTATCCCATTATATTATTATGTCATGCTGATTTCGAAGTCGCAGGAGCGACAAGATCCGCCTCCTGAAGGAGATCATCCATACGACTCTGCATGAAGCAGGTGGTGGGAGTAAGAATAATAACACATAATATTATAAGAAGAATAACAATAATATATACATGGCTCATCATTTTTAAAATATATACATAATCTGATCAGGCATTCGAGTGGGTGATCATGAGACGGTTGAGGAGGAAGAGATGTTGGATTCTTCGGCTATATTTGCTATGATTGTTGATTTTTGGGATAAGTGTGTCTTGTCAACTCAGGTAATGGAGCCCAGCCCGGACTCATTGGCCACTATGTCGACGGCGGCTCCGACGTCCTCTTCGCAGGACTCAGCATGCATTTGTGATTCGTGGTTGTGTTCCGATTCAATGAACATGAAGGCAGAGCCGAGCCCGTCGATGACGATTGCCAGTGGTTCGATGATGGACGTGCAGGACCCCACCGGGTTTATGAAAGATCTGGTTTTTTGATTCGAAGTGCACATCCCGACAGGATACACTGGTGATGTACGAGCCCGACGAGGAGCCTGTGGTTGAACTGCCAAACAACCGTCAGGGTGGAAAGGCCACTCTGATTATGTCATCATGACATGCATGATGCAGCAGCGCTTTCGCACGAGTAATAGTGAATAATATACTAAGGATCGGGATCCGCTGATGAAGATCGCTCCGGTTTTGCCTCCCATGGGTCTGGAGGCACAGGCCGAGGAGCTGTGCGAGAAGGCCATGGAGCTCGAGGAGAGTGGGGGCAAGCCTTCTGTTGCCGAGTTCGATGTTGTGAGTGCACAGCAGAAAGCACCCTGGTGTGATGAGACTGTGTGTGCATGTTGTGTGTGCATGTTGCTCCAGGATGACCTTTACGAATTACGAGATGATTCTTCAGCCAAGGTGTTGAATGCTGTGCGCTCGGAGGAGCCTGAGATCTTGATCGAGCCCAAAGCCAAGGCCAAGGCAAAGTCGAAGGGCAAAGCGAAGGCGAAGGCCAAGGGAAAAGCAGGTGACAGCAAGGCCGAGGAGGATGCCGATGAGAAGATTGTCAAGAAAGTCGGGCTGAAAGAGAAAGCTGTCAAGCCTGTGATCCCGAGCTGGCCTGGGGCGGAGACCCGTATGTGAAACTGATGAGAATGTCAAGCTTTTTATTATTAGAGTAAGTAATATGTATAGCAATATATGATAGCTGCTAGTATATATAATATTCAAGAATATAGTTCATAATAACAATAATATAGAAAATAATCAAGTCATGTAGCCTTAATCATGTAATATTTTTATCATAGTTGGACGCTAGTTACAACATCAGTGAATTGCACAACCATTTATTATTAATATCAACAATGGAGCTCTATATTATATATGTACGTATGTGAGCATCTATACACAGAGATAACCAGAAAATATACAGATATAGCTATAGATATAGATCTTATATAGATAGATAAAGATATAGACAATTATCATCATATTTTCATATCGAGATCACTGTTATATATACATATGTATATATATATATATATATATATGTAGAGATATCTGTATATATCGATATATAGATGGAGTTATTATTATTATATAGATACAGATACACTTATAGACGTAGATATAGAGAATTATCAACATAACAAAGTCTGATCATCATTAATTGATATTGCTTGTTATTACTAATATTTATGTATATATATCTATATCTATATATATATATATATATTGATATTATCAGATAGTTTCTCTATGCAACCCTTGCAGGAGACGACTCTGCGTGCCAATCGCATCCCCATCCCGGATTCGTTTGCAGGGACCAGGAAATCCTACACATTGTCGCCGGAGGATTACTGCATGAAGCTGGAGATCAATGGCACAGAGTTGGGAAGCATGTATGTGTTGTGCCTTCTCAGCATTATTATGGCGAGGGTCTGCAGATACCAATATTATACATAATGAGAATCAGATTACTATATGCATATCTTGAGGTGGGCCGAAAACGGCATGTATGTGAACCTGGTGCTCGACCGCAGCGAATTCCCGGATCACAATGTGAACAAGAAAGGCGGTGCAACCGTCGGGATCAACAAAGTTGGTGGATGGGCCAACGCCTACAAGATTGCGTGCTCTCTGGCTGGTTGGAGTCAGGCTGGCCTTGTGTTTCGTTAGTATTTATTACATGTTGCCCAGAGCAGACAATCATTTTTATGTGTCGGCAGGCAGGGCTCAAGCCGGCACCGAAGTCCATCGAGAACGATGTGGACTAGAAGGTGATACCCATATCCGAGGACGATCGGAACCGATTCGTCATTTTGACTATATGGTGGCAGCCTCGAAGCTGATGAATCGAAGCTCTCAGGTGAAGTGTGTGAGAAAATGATAATGAGATCGGAGGTGTTCTGATATGTTCGGCAGGCCACTGCTAGCAATTCGGTTGTGCACCTTGTTTGTTGCAGGTGTGTCTTGCACCGATTCCAGCCTGCTGTTGTGTTGGACGGCGTTTGTTTTCAAGAGGGCTTTGCAAAGTTTGGTTTGGTAGACGATCAGCCAAGCCATGGCGCCGAAGCGTGGCTTGCACTTGAGTGCACGGCAAGCTGCATTTTTGATGTGGCTGGGGGCTCCTCCTATCCTGTGCCTTCGTCTAGATTAATTTGCTGCGGTAGTCTGCCACACACATCTTTCAATGCTGGGAGTGCCAAGGTTGCA